CAAGTCAATTGAAAGAATGTCAAGTGCTGACATTCTTTCTTCTTAAGTAAGATAGATTTCACTCTGTTGTGCTGTATGAAAACAAGATTTTCTTTTCAAAGTATTTCTTTTTTATTTATTTAGATTAAAATAAATTACAGGGATGGAGAGATGGCTCAGTGGTTAAGAGCACTGACTGCTCTTCCAGAGGTCCTGAGTTCAAATCCCAGCAACCACATGGTGGCTCACAGCCATCTGTAAGGGAATCCAACACCCTCTTTTGGTGTGTCTGAAGACAGCTACAGTATACTCATATACATAAAATAAATAAATATATCTTTAAAAAAATAAATTACAGTGTGTGTTATAGTAAATATTTAATCTCAACTGGGGGTTTCTACCCTACCTTTGATCATTTAGTTCCTAGATAAAAGACACAAAACTTTTATATTTATGATAAGCCTTTAATGCACTCAAGCTGGGCAGATATCTACTCTCTAATCTACTTCTCCATCAATAACTTGCTGTCTTAGTTAGGATTTTACTGCTATAAACAGACACCATGATCAAGGCAAGTCTCATAAGCACAGTATTTATTTGGAGCTGGCTTACAGGCTCAGAGGTTCAATTTGTTATCATCAAGGCAGGAGGAGTATGGCAGAGTCTAGTCAGTCATGGTGCTGGAGGAGCTGGGGGTTCTTTATCTTCATCTGTAGGCTGGTAGGAGAAGACTGGCTTCCAGGCAGCTAGGATAAGGGTCTTAAATCCCCCACCCACAGTGACACACCTACTCCAACAAGGCCAAACCTCCAAATAGTACCGCTCCCTGGACCAGCATATACAAACAATCACTCTTGCCATGTTATATCTAGGCAGCTCTTAACACCCAACCCTCATGGCCATATTTTCATGATGTACCTACCCCATGGCAGCTTTTCCTCTCTCCACCTTCTGTCACTCCTCCTGTCCCCCTCAGGTCCTCAGACACCAAGCACAGGAACTGAAACCCCACCTACTTCTCTTCTGCTCAGCTCTAGGCTGTCATAATCTTTATTGAACCAATAGTTTTAAATTAAAGAGCAAAGTTGTAACATTATTTTGTACATCGTAAGTGAGGATTCTCTGGTCCCTGAGGCAACCAGGGCCAGTATTTAACATTACAATATATAGCAACAGACCAACCCACAACAAATGTGCAATTAAGAAGTCTGTATATTTTGTTTAGTAATATGCTATCTAAATTAGATTGTTTCAGTTAGCTAATATGTATATTTCTGAATTTTAAAAAGCTTTAATGTTTGAGTGCATATATTCTGTGTGTATTGTTTTTTGTATGTATATATCCACGTAAAGCCCTTAGTCAATTTACAGTAGCTCTGTGAGATAGATACTGTATCACTTTCTCTTACAGAAATTGTATAACTAGACTAAACAATTAAGGAGTAGTATAACCAGTGTACACAGTATAACTGATGTGTGGTAAGGTTTTTTTTTTTTTAAGATTTATTTATTATTTTACTGTATATGAGTATACTGTAGCTGTCTTCAGACACACCAGAAGAGGACATCGAATCTCATTATGGATGGTTGTAAGCCACCATGTGGTTGCTGGGATTTGAACTCAGGACCTCTGGAAGGGCAGTAAGTGCTCTTAACCGCTGAGCCATCTCTCCAGCCCGTGGTAAGGTTTTTTTATTGTTTATTTTGGTTCTGGATGATCAAACTCTGCACTGCTCACATTCTATGCAAGTAATGTTCCACTAAGCTATAACCCCCAACCCTAGGTCTAGTATGCTAATTTGGTTTTTTTCTAAGTTCAAATAGCAAGCTTCACTGTCACAGATAAGAACAGCATTCAGGAGGTCATAGGTTTGAGGCAAGCCTGAGTTATATAACAAGACCTATCTCCATTCCTCCTACATCTCTCCAAATAAAATTTAAATAGTATTACCTTCTCACTGGGTTCCCATGTCTTTTCTATCTTTATACGATGTTGTCCTACTTGTTTAATAAACATTTAAACATCTACATTATTCTGGGAGCTAAAAATAAACAGCCATTAATGAAATATAAAAAGAAGCTTGAGTTTTCAATTTACATGGTGTTTAAAAGCAAAAGAATAAAATGTATTAAATAGTGGAGAGGTGTCTTGTAATTGAATAAAATAGAATTTGAAATAAAACAGTAGTTTGTAGTGTCTTAAGACAAAGGCTGTAAGTCTCTAAGAGTATTACCAGAAGTATATATCACTTTCTGTGGTGTCTCTTCATAGTGGATGCTGGGAAGAGCTCTTACCTCCTATCAGTGGAGACTGGAGAGAAGTAGTCTTACTTCCTGTGTAGTGTTCAATAAACTACATTCCTGCTGAATGACAGTTTAGACAGTTTTCCTAGGCCTTCTGCTATTGTTGCACTATTAGCTTCAGTTTAAAATAGACTGAAGTCTAATTCAGCATGAAAACTAACTTAAAATACAAACTCCAAAAGAGACTTCTCAGCGTTGAGGTGTTAGACATAAACAGGCATGTTTGTCTTAGGAGAGCTCTGCTTTAGGACCTATTGATAACAGAATAGTTTTTGTCTTGATTTCTGTCAGTTATAGTACTTTGACCAAGTCACACCACCTTGCCCATGATTAGTTTTGTTATCTGTAAAACAGCAGTGTGAAGATTAAATTAGATAGGGTACATTCACCATAACATTAAAAAGCAGCATACTGCTATAACAAAAATCTTGGCTGCAAATGGGAACATCAGCAAGTGAAGCAATGCCTTTGACTCAAGTAAAAGTGGGCCAGGCAACTGAGAAACTCCTGACAGTAGAGGAACCAGACTAAGCTGGAGCTGAACATGTCCAGAAGCCAGGAAATCACTGTAGGGACTGAAGTCTGGATTCCCAGCACAGCTCTAAGTTCATGCTTATCCAACATGTCTCTTAGTTTGGTACCCTAAATCTACATCTATTAGACTGTATAAATTTGTCTGTCTGCTAAAGTTTTGATTTATTTTCCTAACATTACCTTTACCAAATGTTTAATTTGTATCCATTCAATGGATGAATGAAAACATTTTTCTTTTGGCTTTTCAGAAGACTGTTTAAAAATACTTGTCAATTTCTGTATAGTCCTGGCTGTCCTGGAGCTTGCACTATAGACCAGGATGGCCTCGAACTTAAGAGATCTGCTTGCCTCTGCTTCCTGAGTGCTGGGTAATTTTCAGTCTTGTACATGTATTCTTTGAGGTTTTGTGGGGTTTTTTTTAATTTTTAAAAAATTTTGATTTATATTTTGGCATTTTTTGTCTGCTTGCATTATGTATGTGCACCACATATGTGCCTGGTACTCACAGAGGCCAGAAGACATAGGACCCCCTGGAACAGGAGTTATAGATGGTTATGAACTACCATGTGCATGTTAGGAAGAAAGCCTGAGTCCTCTGCAGGAACTGGAAGTGCTCTTAACTGCTGAACTATGTTCTTAGCCCTCACTTGGTCATTTTTATAACAGGAACTTACTATATGCCCAAGTCTAGCCTCAGACATACAGTGGTCCTCCAGACTCATCATCCTGGTAAGATTATGAGTGAGCATCACTCTATCCTTCCTCACTATAAATTTATATTTGGTCTTGTAGATATATCTTATTTGTTTATTTTCTTGAAACCGGGTCTACCAGTACAACTCTGGCTATCCTAGAACTCAGCTGCATAGACTAGGCAGTCCTGGGACACACAAAGATCTACCTGCTTCCAACTCCAGAGTGTCTAGTCCTTCTTTCTTTTTTCTTCTTTTCTTTTTATTTTCCTTTTCTTCTTCATTTTTTCTTTTTTTCTTTTTTTTTTGTTTTGTTTTTCAGAATAAGGTTTCTACGTGTAGCCTTGGCTGTCCTAGAATTAACTATGCAGACCAATCTGACCTTGAAGTCACAGAGATATACCTGCCTCTGCCTCTGAGTGCTAGGATTAAAGACCAACATTGTTTGGTTCTGACTCTTTAAGCAGGAGAAGAAAAGACAACAGAATGTCCAGAATAGAGGTTATCCTTATCTGTGCCATTAGCTGGTTAAATGATTTTCCTTGGGGTTGATATATCCTTATGTTCAATATTATTGATGTTTTTTATTTTTGTTTGTTTTTCTGCTTAATACTTAGGAATGGTGCAATTCTAGATGATAGATAGGTCTTTTAGTTAAGCCTTAGAAGAGAAAATAGTATTTGGCATATGATGTGTTTAGCCAGTATATATTCAATTAAAAATTCAAAGCATGGGTTGGAGTGATGGCTTAGTGGTTAAGAGCACTTACTGCTCTTGGAGAGGATCTGTGTTCAGTTCTCAGTGTCCACATAGTATCTTACAACTGTCATCATTAACTTAAGTTCCGGGGGATGTAAAGCCCTCTTCTGGTCTGTACACTTGTGTACATACACAAATAAAATGATAATCTTAAAAAAATTCCAAAGTATAAGCCGACACTTAAGTTGGAAAGCTTAGCTTTATTGATGTGGTGAACTCAGAGCTATAGCTATTTCTTTTTATAATATTTATATTGATTTGAGTCCTAAGAAATTATCAGCTTTTAATGAAGGATATTTCCCAGTTGTAGAGTTTCTGCTTTCCCTGTCTTGAATTTATCTCTCCTGTGTATTAATGTGAAATAAAGTTTGGTATACCATCCTAGGATCTTAAGTTTCAGTATTGATAATGCTAGGGAAATGTAGTTATTACACTTTCACAATAACCTAGTATTTTAACTTTATTTATATGTAAAGCATTACAAATTAAAGGCTAGAGTACTGGTGAGTTTGTCTTTGCTTCTGGAAGCCAATACCTGAGTTGCAATATATGCCAAAGGCAGCCCTATAAGTAGGTGGGGTTATTGAGAAGGGAGTGTTTTAATTATATGAAATCTGAAATATCTTGACCTATATAGCACAGAATGAATGAATTTTTTTTTTTTTAAGAATAGAGCAAAAAAAAATACGTGGCAGACATTTTATATGAATCTTTATGGTTTTTGTTTTTCAGGCATTTAAAAAACGTTTAACCATTCATGAGTTGAGCCTCATTCTTGAGTTATGGATGACAAGGCCTCTGTTGGAAAAATCAGTGTCTCTTCAGACTCAGTGTCTACTCTCAATAGTGAAGATTTTGTCTTGGTTTCCAGGCAAGGAGATGAGACACCATCTACAAATAATGGGAGTGATGATGAGAAGACGGGACTTAAGGTAAAACTTGACAGCCTACATGTGCCTTGCTAAATCCTGTGTACAACTTGGAGCTAATAAATAAAAGAGTAAGCTGAGGAAAACACAGGGTTGATAGCTATACTTTTCAATGTTATTAAATTTTGTGTATACTTAATGAGTTACTCTTTATTTTAAGGATTTTTATTTTGATTAGCTTAAATTTTTTTAAAGTTCCTGCCAAAACTCTTATGGTATACACTTTTTGAACTTCAGGATTGTTCCCTGTTCTCAGTACTTCAGGAGGCAGAAACAGGCAGATCTCTTGTTTGATGACAGCCTGGTCTACAAAATGAGTTCCGGGGCAGCCAAGGCTGTTATATAGAGAAACCCTGTTTAAAACAAAAACAAAACAGTAAGAGAAAGAGAGAGAGGGAACAGGAGAATGGGGGAGGGAGAGAGAGAGAACACGAACATGAAGGGAGGAGTAAGGGGTTGGGAGTGAGGATGACCTTTATGGTAAGTTCAGAATGAAATGAAGAAAACTGTGAAGACTGGGAAGCTTTCCAAAGGCAGTAGCAGATACCTACACCAAGAGGGCGGCGGCTCCAGCAGAGTAATGTCATGATCTGAGGGCTGGCAAGCCTCTTGCATGCTTGGTTCTATAGAAGCTTAGTAGCAAACTTGAACTTTGTTATAAATGCAATGAGAATTTTTGCAAGTTTTGAATGGGGACATGATCTAATTTACATTTTATAAAGCTAACTTGCTGAGAGCAACTTCCATCATAACAGCATGAACTATTCCCCAGAAGCACTGGTGACAATTATTAAAACAAAAATAAAAAAGAGCGTTAAAGTTTTTGGAGATATTTGGAAAGAAATGCAGCAAATGAAAAGTCTTAATCATGAAACTCTGGTAAAAATCTCTTTAAGGATCCTGTAAGGGCCCATTCTGCTACTTTGTAATGGCCCGTTCTGCTGCTCTGGTCCGCAGGTCAGGGTCTAGCAAGAGAGAGAGTGGGGACGGAGGGGCGAGAGACATGAAAAATGGAGACAAGACAGAGTCTGATCAAGTCTCTTTTATTGAAAGGAAATCCTGGGTATTTATACCCTTTACCACATGCCTTGCCCTCATGGACAAGCACAGCTGAAGGCACTACGTCATGCGCCTAGCAGTGTGGAGACCACGTGCACCTAGCTAGCAGTGTGGAGACCATGTGCGCCTAGCTTGCTGGCGGTACTAAACAGCAAAACAAGATGTTTATTAGAGTGTGTTCAGCTGTTGGGGGCTGTTGAAAACAAGTCTCTTGTCAGGGTATATGGCTCGAGATGGCTGTAAAGATGATAGCCGCTTTTGGCTAAGAGTTGGCTCCCAACAGCATCCCATCTTGTTCTTCCTCTCTTACCTGAGACAAAAAATTATATCTGCTCCACAGACTAACATAATCAAGAAGATGGCCAGGGAAGAATGCTATAAAAACATACTGTATGAAAAAAAAAATTAATAAGATGAAAAGAAAGAAAATGGGGTTCAAGAGTGTCATGTCCCCACTCCAAGTTCCAGAGCAGTGACTCACAGTTTTGCCATAGTGTCTTAATTGTCAACAAATGTAAACAATAAGAAGTCCTGAAGTGGGCTCATCAAGATCCCGAGTCAGTACAACATCTTGTTTACAGTGTCTAGTTTCCAACCAAAAAAAAAAAAAAAAAGCAAGGGAGACATTATTATCCATACACTTGAGAAGAAACAAAGCAGACAACAGAAACTTCTAGTCAGTGACAGTTGAATTTCACTTTAAGTGTTTCCAGGACAGCCAGAGATACACAGACAAAACAAAAACAAATGATGTGTTTCAAAGTAGTCTTTTTCTGCTATGTCCAACAAATTATACACTATCATGCGTACAGAACAGATGCGTGCACAACAGTGACATCAGATACTACAGATAGTATCAGTAAGGAGGGCTGGAAAGATGGATTAGCAGCGAAGAGCACTGGCTACTCTTCAAGAGGTAGAAGATTACCAGGTTAGATTCCCAGCACCCACATGGTAGGTCAGAGCTGTCTGTAGCTTTAATTCCTGGGACTCTGCTGACCTCTTTTGGCCTCCATGAGCACCAGACAGGCATTCTGGCAAAACCAGCCATAAGGAGATTAAAAAGAGCTAGCTAGAAATTCCATTGAAAATATAAAGTGTATAATAAGCATAAATGTTTGGTGATTTTAGTCTTCAGAATGTCCTCTAGTGTAGCTTGTTCTTTTAACTTTTTTCTAAATTAATTATAAATTTTTTAAAAATTTTTTTTGTATGGTAACCAGTAACAATACTTGGTTTTGTTACCTGTTTGTTTGTTTGTTTTTTAACATTGAACAATCTTACTTGTATTTCTTCCCTTTCTTTTATGATCAACTAATGATAAACTATTATAGCCCACGATATAACTTAATAAAAAATAAAAGAAACAAAAAAACAGAAAAAAAAATGAAGTAAGTCATTATTGGAATACATTGCTTTTATTTCTCAGGATCGACTGCCCTACGTTGTCAGCTTTACTCATGTGTCTCAGCACTTTGAAGGCCAGTTGATACCAAATAAGTCTTCTCCAGAAATAAAGGAGACCTATTTATAGGAGTAGTCATAAAATATATGTAAAATTTTACTGTAATTGACATTTCTTTTAAGTTTTAGAAGGATGAACATTTCCTTAAGAAAAGCTATTAAACAGACAATGTTAATGTTGGTATGTTACCTATTTCTGAACATTTTTAGATTCATTGTGTACTTTTTATGTAAAACAGCAATTACAGCCTTTATTTGTTGCATATCATTTATTTTAAAAAATTCAGGAGATATCCTAAAAGAAATGGTGATACTTTGCTTTAGAACATGGACCCACTTCAATTAGTGCTGGCCTCCTATTTTGCTGATTGCATGTATTTGTGGTTAGATTGTAGGGAATGGAAGTGAGCAGGAGCTTCAGAAAGAGCTAGCAGATGTGCTGATGGATCCTCCCATGGACGACCAGCCAGGGGAAAGGTCACAACTGGATGGTGAAGGAGATGGGCCTCTTTCTAATCAACTCTCAGCTTCGTCCACCATTAATCCTGTCCCTCTGGTAGGGCTTCAGAAGCCAGAGATGAGCCTGCCAGTGGAACCTGGACAAGGAGGTTAGGATTACTACATTACTTGTGTAATTTAAGATTATTGTTTTTAATACTTGTGTCTTCTGTCCAGTACTAGATTCAATAACAGAATAAAAACCATCATAAGTTCTCTAAAGCTCCATATTCTAAATTTAAGATGTAGTCAGATGTATATGACATTCTGACTTTTCCTTTAATTGTATTTCTGTTATAACAAAGAAAAAACAGTAGTTAAAGGATACTGAGAAGGAAGTCTGTCCTTTCTTCAGGTGGCTTTAAGAGTCTTCCAGGAAATTTATGATGAGTTCAAATCCAGCCATTAGTATAAAACCTTGTTTTAGAAAATGAGAAACAACCAGAGTTTTCTAGGAAAGAAAAATTTTGATTATGGTGTTAGAAAATAGATGTTTGCTCCAGGCATAACCTCTCAGAAAGCAAGTTGGAAATAGGAGGGTACAGAACAGAAAGTCCAGAACAGTTAGGAAAGCTCATCTGCAAGAACAGCTTATTAACTTGGAAGCAGGATGTTAAAGGAGGTAATGCAGAAGCTACCTGTGTATTCGAAACATTGTAGCTGCAATCAGAAGACATCAGCATTTTCAGAATACTTGGATACACGTGTATTTGGTTTAAATGTAAATTATAAAATCAAAAACAAGTGAGGAGATGGAATCAGGAGTCACATCTGACTCTCAGGTCACATTTTGGGTTTGGAATTAACATCAATTTGTAAAAATCTTGGTATTAGAGTTCTAGTGTAAATTGCCTGGCTCCCATGGACATGTTTTTGCCCCGTGGAATATCACATACTGTCTTAATTAGTACTTGATTTTTGAACCTGATAAGTCTTTTAGATGTTTACTTGTTGTTCATATCAACACTATTATTTTTTTGTTTCAGATTCTGAAGTGTCAAGTCCTTTCACACCAGTGGCTGATGAGGATAGTGTGGTTTTCAATAAACTAACTTATTTAGGCTGTGCCTCAGTAAATGCTCCCCGAAGTGAAGTAGAAGCCTTGAGGATGATGTCCATCTTGAGAAGTCAGTGTCAGATTTCTCTGGATGTAACCCTCTCAGTGCCGAATGTATCTGAAGGAACTGTGAGGTAAGACAGGCACCTGTTAAGAGCTGTTAGACAAGGAAGCACTGGTACGTAGAATATGCCATACTCATATCTTCTTAAATTGCAACCCTCATGAAAAATGCTTATTTGTTCATGCTCCATATTCCAGTCCTCAGTGGGATATTAGAAACTTCAGTGACTTGAAGATAGTTGATCCATAGTGATCATGAAAGATGTCCCCTTCTTTTTTAAAATGAGAAATGAAATCAGAGACCAGAGAAATTCTAGAAATGGGTATTGCTTATACTAATTCAAACTAATAAAGATAACCAAGTCAAATGATTGTTACCAACCAGTTAAATACAAAATTGCTAAATAATTACAGAAAATGTGTTTCAGAAAAGTAACAAAATGACATGAGTTTAAAAAAAAAAGCCCTCTTAATTTTACTTTCCTGTTGATAAACACAGTCAAAATCTTGACTCATCCATACTCTTTATACAGGCTGAGGAAATAGCTGTGTTATCACAGGGATATATAAATTCAAAGCGTTGTGGCTCTTGCTTATTATCCCAGTGCTGGAGAAGCAGGGGAAGATGGATTCCTGGGGCTCACTGACCAGCCAGCCTAGCCTGCTTGGCAAGTTCCAAGCCAGTAAGTCAGTGAGTCTCTGTGAGTAAATGTGTCTTACACTCTCTGACTTGCTTGCACTTATGCTTGTGTGAGCACACACACACACACAGTTATAGCTATCTCCTGGGCAACAGCATTGAAGTTGTCTCACAGACACAAAACAACTCTGTGTTTAACTATTGCTGTTGCTGTAATAAAGCCCTACAGAATGATTAAAAAGAGGAAGTATTCATTTTGACAAGTAGTTTCAGAGGTTTCAGTCTAAGGTCAACTGCTCAATGTCTTTAGGCATGGTGAGGCAATATATTACAGCAAAAAGCCTTGGTAGAGGAAGGTTTCTTACCTTACGGGAGCCATTAAGTACAGAGAAACCAAAAAGTGCCTGAGAAAAGATGGGCATGTCCTAGTAACCTATTTTCCTCTAGCTTGACCTACTGTCCAAACGGTCTACCACCTCCTAAAGTAACAGCAACTGCTTTCAGTCCATGAATCTGGGAAGACAGTACATAGTAAAGTCATCCAGTATATATGCATGTGTGTCTGTGTATATGGTTATGAATATACATATACATGGATATATGATTGTGTCAGTCAACATTTTTTTCTGGCAGTGGAATTCTACATGATGTATATTATAGTTCATTTAGTTTTATAACGAGAAAAGTACCAATAATAGTATCAATTATCATATAGGCATTTGAGTACTTAATAAGTGAGTAATTCACTGGATCTTTATTTCTTTAGGGTAGAGTCCTAATACACTTACTAGATCAAAAGCCTCTCTAGTATTACTACTTTTGTTGCATGTAGAAATAATTGATCCAGTTTATACTTTGATCAGTGGTTTCTGTGCTTTTTTTCAGTACCCTTAGAAACATGTTGGGTTTTCATAATAGCAACATAACACTACATGTGGAAGTAGGAAGTTACATAGTTAATCTGAACATTTAATTTGTCTCAATTTCAGAATCTCAAATTCTAGTTTTAATTCTAATTACTTTTAATGTACCTTTTTAAGTGAATGCTTATTCTAAAAACTGAAATTATACTTTGCTCTAATATATTTTCCTTCTTTAAGAAAATGAGCAAACATCTGACTTGCCCTGCATTCTTACAGATTTTGTGAAAGCGTCTTTAACCTGAGTTTTTAGAGCTCCTTGAGATCCCTCCACTTTGAATAGGGCTGCCAGGACCTTTCCCATTTGATAGCTTTGCCCTGCAGTATGCTATTTACAAAGTGTCTTCTTGACCTTTCATAATTCTGCATTTAGTGGTCTGAACAGAGTCTAGAATATTGTGGCTGTCACATGAATAGATTTTATTTAATGATGTCCTTTTGAATTGCATTGACTAGCAACCTTTGGGATTTTATGTGTTGTTTTTGAAGGTTAGTTTTTGTGCTTTCTTGTGCACTGTTATGTTTTTACTTTTACAAACAGCATATTCTTTTAACAAGATAATCATATGCAAAGATCTTAGTCTATTTTGGAAGTCTTAATTTATGTACTAATCTTGTCTTTATTTAGTAGTAGGTTATGAGAATTATATTTGCTGCCAGGCAGTGTCAGCTCATGCCTTTAATCCAAGCACTTGGAAAGCAGAAGCCAGCCTGGTCTACAGCATGAGTTCCAGGATAGCCAGGACTGCATAGAGAAACCTTGTCTCAAAACAAAACAAAACAACAACAAAAATAATCAGATTTGCTGATGCTGATATTAATACCTTTCTACATGTCTCTCCCAAACATTTAATTGTCTAGATTTAGTATGATGGAATTATGTGATGAATAACCTCAACACCCACATGTGACTTATGTATCAGAATTCAACAACAACATGACTAGTATACTAAAAGTAATATGATTATATAATCATATTTCTGAACAGATATCCTAATATAAATATAACAATAATATATAGTATATGTATATATAATATAATAAATAATAATAAAAATAAATTAAGTCCTAATATAAATACAGGTTGCTCATAATTAACCTCTTTCCTTTTTGTCTGCATAGACTTTTAGATCCTCAAACGAACACTGAAATAGCAAACTACCCTATCTACAAAATCCTCTTCTGTGTCAGAGGGCACGATGGGACTCCTGAGAGTGACTGTTTTGCATTCACTGAAAGTCACTACAACGCAGAGCTCTTCAGGATACATGTCTTTCGCTGTGAAATACAAGAAGCTGTAAGTCTTTGTTGTGTTGTGTTGTGTTGTGTTTTGAGACAGGATTCCCTGTGTGCCCCTGGATGTTCTGGCACTGATTTCATAGACCAGGCAGGCCTCAAAAGAGAGAAATGTAAATGAGATTTCACAAACACGTTGTCTCTGGCTGCAAGTGCCACAGGACAGGGAGATGGCTCAGTGAGTAAAATGCTTGCTGCATAAACATGAGGACCTGAATACCATCCCCAGCACCGACACTAAAAAGCTAGTAGTGGTAGTACATGTCAATAACCCCAGCATAGGTGGATCCTGGAGCCTGCTGGCCAGCCATTCTAGTCTCAACAGAGTGTTTCAGGTTCAGTAAGAGACTCTGCCTCAAAAAAATAGAAAATAGGTAAAGACACCCAACTGCAACTTCTGACCTCCATGTACACTGAGCACACCTGTGTACATTCACATGCACCAGAGAGCACACTCGTGCACTTGCACATACAGTGCTACAGGAGGTGTGATCTGTTGGTTGGAATAGATTCACAACCTTATCCAAACAGTGACACGTTCGCAACTTGTTATGAGTGGGTCCTAAACTTATTAGAGCCATGCCTAGTTATTAAACATATATTTACATAAATTCTAGCATTTAAGAAGTGTTTTTGTTAGGTTTCTAATATTAACTATTTCTGTTTTCTTTTTTTTTTTTTATCCCTCTTTGATGATTATATTTTAGAAATCTAACAATTAGGTAATTAACTGAAAAAAAATCTGTATGGGAAAAACTAGTGATTACCTTCTCCCAAGTAAATAAACATTTAACCTTAATAAAGTACTTTCTGTTTATTTTTATTTATTTATTATGATTGCATGTTTGTGTACATGATGAAGGGAGTGGGGGTGTAGAACAACTTGTCATTTGTCCTCTCTTCCCACCCTGTGGAGTTTCGGGGATCCAGCTCCAGTCACTAGGCTTGCTCAGAAAGTGCCTTCAACTGCTGCATCATCTCATTGATCCCAAAAAGGACTCTGCGTAAGCGCAGACCTCCTCAGTGGCAGCCTGCATGAGATTCTACCACTGCCCAGATCAAGAGACAGAGCATGCCCAGCATTGGAGAATAATCCCTCCCTTAACCCCACACACAAAAAACACCAGCTGCTATTCTGAGCTGTATCCCTAAAAGTTGATTTTGCTTGTTTCATGTAAAGGAAGTCTAGCAGCAAACTCTTTTGCAAGTCACTGGCGGGAGAGTGTTTTCTGTCTTATGATAACAGCCACTTTCCTGACGTGTCTGCTTATAGGTAAGCCGGATACTTTACAGTTTTGCCACCGCCTTCCGCCGTTCTGCCAAGCAGACCCCACTCTCAGCCACAACTGCACCACAGACTCCTGACAGCGACATCTTTACCTTCTCTGTGTCTTTAGAAATAAAAGAAGATGATGGTAAAGGTTATTTTAGGTAGAGCATCTTGAATTACTTATTTTGCTGAATTTTAGTACACTATTATTTGTGGTACAGAAGAAACTAGGTCAGACTACATACATTTGATACTTAAAATGATTACTTCTACAGGCAGTAAGTTGATGGCAGTAATAAAGGGAAAAAAGAAAGATTTATAATCTATTTTACTTTTTTTTTTTTTTTTTTTTTTTTGGCTTTTAGAGACAGAGTTTTTCTTGTAGTCCAGGCTGGCCTCAAACTCACAGAGATCTACCTGCCTCTTCCTCCCATATGCTGGGATTAAAGGCATGTACCACCACTGCCTGGCTAAATGTTTAAAGCATTAAAAAAAGTTCATCTTATGAGTATCTTTTACTGTATTATTTTAAGTCAGAATGGTTGACTGACAGCTGATAAAAATTATGGCCCAAGATGGTCAAAATTAAGTACACTACAACTATAGCTATATTTGTTGCTCTAGTGAACAAAACAACTTGGGGAGGAAAGGGTTTTTCAGCTTACCCTTCCATATCACAGTTTATCCCTGGAGGAAGTCAGGACAGGAACTCAAACAGGCCAGGTACCTAGAGGCAGGAGCTGATGCGGAGGCCATGGAGGGGTGCTGCTTACTAGCTTGCTCCTCATGCTTACTCAGCCTGCTTTCTTATAGAACCCAGGACCACCAGCCCAAGGATGACACCACCCACAATGGGCTGTACCCTTTCCCATAAATCTCTAAAGAAAATGTTCTACAGGCTTGCCTAGAGCAGATTTTATAGAGCCATTTTCTTAATTGAAGTTTCTTCATGCAACTTCAACTCGTGTCAGGTTGACATGAAACTATCCAGCACAATGTGTCTTGTTGTTGTTGTTGATTTGGTTGCCTGGTTTTTATTTAAAGATCTTACAGGTTTTGACATCCAGTTTTACCATTAAAGTTTATCTGAACACATAAGAAGGACAAATAATGGGCTTTGTCCCAAGCTGAGCCTTTTATATATAGTTAAAAGTAACTAAGTTTGGTGTTCATCTCACTTCATTTTAGTAATTCATTCATTTATCCTATGAAAATGGAAATCATTGTGTAGCCCAGGCCGGGCTCAGAACTATATAAGGTAGTACTTGAGAGGTAGAAGCAGGTGATTCTGTGTGTTTGTGAATTTGAGGCCAGCCTAACAGCCCTGTCTACAGAGTGACTTCTAAGCCATTCAGAGCTAATCACAGAAAGCCTGTCTTGAAAAATCTATGGGGACCCCCCCCCAAAAAAAAAAACAAAACCCACCTCAGAATGACGCTCAGATCTGCCTCAAATTCATAGTAGCCCTCTAGTCTTAGCTTCCCAGGGACTGAGATAAGTCTGAGCTGCCATGCCTGGCTGGTTTGGTTTTTTAAGTAAAATATTACTTTGAATAATAGGAAGGACCCTGAAATAAAAATTAAGATTTTTGTTTAATTGCTGCTACTTTTAACAGTGTGGCCATTTTGAAGTCCCTTTACCTCTCCAGTCTATAATTTCCTTATTTGTAAAATGCAGTGGCTATACGCAAATCCTTTGTGTCTAAAATTGAACTATTTTGCAAGATGACTGGATTTTTTTCCCATATAGCTCATATCATAAAATGAGTGGTCATAATTAATAATAAGTAAAATCAAATTATGAGAAAATCTGTGATCTCTAAAAATCACTTTCCAGTAAAAAGAATAGTAGCTGACTAGTTTTGTCTAAAACTGGTGTCTCTTTGGAATTGCAACGCCATCTGGTGGCCAGTTTTATTACTAGAAAAAAGAAATCAGTCTTATATTGTTATAATTGCCAAGCAACTTGTAAAAATTTACTCCTGAGAAACTTTCAAAATGATTGGTTCTGGTTGGTTGCCTGGCTGTTTACCTGCCTGCTTGATTGATTGGTTTGGTCTCGTTTAACCTTACAAGCAACTCGACCAGATAAAATTGTGCCTCAGCTTCCCAAGGTTAAGTCTTCACCATGTGTTTTTAAGGTATACGGTGAGGATTAAATATAAAAGTAACATAGTTACAGGACAAGAAATACAAATTGGCCTCCAGTGTTCAATGAGTGGACTCCCACTAATTACACTTTACACTTTGTTTCTTATTAATGCAGACCAAATGGTTCTGCATTAGGTGACTTTTACTGAATTGTATTGTTATGTGGCACTGAGATTGAGCCCAAGGCATATTAGGCAAGCACTGTCCATCTGAGTTGTATCTTACTCAGCTCATCATTGTTTCAACCTGCTGAGAGAGATTGTGTTGACTTATCCTTAACTATCCTTAGACCATAGGAGACTAAGGTATCGGCTTGAGAGATGCCACAGAAGCTTAAGATCTCTGCTATTCCAAAGGTCCTAAGTTCAGTTTACAGCAACCATCTGGTGGCTCACAACCATCTATAATGAGATCTGGTGCCCTCTTCTGACATGCAGGCATACATACAGGCAGAACACTATATACATAAATAAATATAAATATATATATATATATTTTTTTAAATGAGATACATAAGGACAGCTGAAAATGAGGCCTGTCTGCCAGAAATATTTAACAATTTGGAGTCTAAAATTTTTCTTTGAACATTTTATCATTTGTAGATTCCTTTGCTATGTAATGAAAGTGTTACAGAAAATTAGATTGGCAAATAACACAAATGCACATGCACTTCAAGGTATATCTAAGTGATAAATACATAACAGTTTTCAGCTATTCATTATTTTATCCACCAATAGTTCTGTTGCCATTAAGTTAGTGTTTTAAAGTGATAAGACTTGCTACATAATGGGTGGTCACCTCTAACACTGTCACCTTTGAGAAAAGTACCCCTAGAGCTAGAGCGTATATGGGACATTTGGTGATTATTTTTGTAAAGTGGCTTTTTAATCTTTATTAAGCTGGTATTTATTTCTTCCTTTTCTTGTTTTAATAACAATAATATTAGTATTAATAGCATAAGGTCAGCACTACCTAAGAATACTAACTTGTCATGGCTAGGCCATAATAAATTGATCACATTTTTTTTTCATCCTGTTTTTCACATTCAGTTCTATTTTCTTTTTTGCTATTACTTGTAAACCAAAGGAAAGAATCAGAAATTTAAGGTCTTTGTTATCATCGTATCTGACAAGATAATTGTTACCAACATTAATGAAATATGTTGATCTTCTTACAGTGCTGTTCCCAAAGACAAGGACAGGCAATGCTTTAAACTTCGCCAAGGAATTGATAAGAAGATTGTCATCTGTGTGCAGCAAACAGCTAATAAAGAACTTGCCATTGAAAGGTAAACTTTTTTCTTTACGTTTAGCTTAAATATGAGTTTTGTTTTTATCTGCCTAATAGAATAGTCATAGACCATATTAAAATTTTACTTTCAAAATATATCGACCTCTTGGTAACTCTTTTGTGCTTATTGTAGTGTTTCTTATTGTTGAAATCACTCTCATAAATCTTTAGTTAATACTGTTGATCTCTAGTATGTGATAATAAAAAGACAAAATTTGCTCAGCTCAGGTAAAGATGATGATTATTATGACATTATTGGTTTTAAGTTCTGTTGTTAGTTTTATGACAAGTTTATATCAGTTGGTTTTTTTTTTTTTTTTTTTTAAAAAAACAGGTGCTTTGGTCTTCTCCTTAGCCCAGGAAAAGATGTCCGAAATAGTGATATGCACTTGTTGGATTTGGTGAGTTTTTTTTGTTGTTGTGGATTCTTTTGATTGTGGTTGGTTTTTATTAGAAGTCTGTAAACTATTTCTATTTTGTTAGTATATTGATTTACTTTTATCACATTAGACTCAAAACATGTCATATATATAAACACATATAAAAGTGTTTATGTAAGCAATAAAGCATTGCACAGAGATAAAGGAATTTTCTTATTCCTGACATGGGATTTACAAATCTAACCTTAAATGTGTAGGTCAGCCTTGGTGTCCTGACCTGTGTAGTGGGAATAATATTTTATGTTTACTTACTAGGTAGGATTGATATAAGAGTCAAACTGTTATGTCCTTTATTTTACAAGTAGGACCCAGGCACAGTGGCACATGCATTTAATCCAAGAACTTGGGAAGCAAAGGCAGGCAGATCGCTGAGTTCGAGGCCAGCCTGGTCTATACAGAGTGAGTTCCAGGACAGCCAGGACTATACAGAGACACACTGTCTCGAAAAATCAAAATAAAACAACAGCAAAACCCAAGTAGGAGTAATTGTAGAATATGCCTATAATATCCCTTGGGAGGTAGAGGCAATCACACAGTAAGACCTTATTTTTAAAAAAAATCAAATTTAAAAAAAGGAAATAAAAATATAATGCAAGTAGTAGGAGATATTATTATTGCTAGTATATGAAAACCATTATTTGCAAAACTAAAAATTATAGATTTCACCAATGATTTATATACATTTATCTTAAACTATTTCTTTTTTTTTTTTTTGGATTTTGAGACAGGGTTTCTCTGTGTAGCCCTGGCTGTCCTGGAACTCACTCTGTAGACCAGGCTGGCCTCAAACTCAGAAATCCGCCTGCCTCTGCCTCCCAAGTGCTGGGATTAAAGGCGTGCGCCACCACCGCCCAGCCTACATTTATCTTATACATAACTTTAGGACCAGTTATGCAAATAATTGATATGTTAATCTTAACTATAGTCATTCACATGCTCCTCTCTCTGCCTTTAAACAAATCTTTAATAATTGAGCAGCTTTATTCAAGGCAACATACATCAGTGCCTTCTCTGTTTCATAATACTGTTCAGTAGAAGGCTGTTTTGTTGTCTTTTGAGTTTCAACATAAAATACAAAGCAGGATGCCACATGAAAAGCTGTCTGTACTATGGATGGTGCATGTAGTAGTGAATGATACCTTTGATACTAGAGAATCAGTAAATCTAATTGACTACAGTGGCTGTATTTATTTGGCTGTTGACATGTCCGGAAGAAAAGACATGGAAAGAATTGAATATTAAACACTATAAATTATTTCATCTTAGGGTCATTATTAATAGCGTAGGAGTCCAGAAACTGGCCTTGAATCATGTCCTCCACTAATCAAATTTTGTACTTCAGTTGCTAATATGAAAATTAGGTTTATTTATTTCAGATCATCAAGATAAAAATGAATATAAGGTTTTAGAGGGCCATTCAGATTTCATTAATGGTTTGCTGTTTCATCCAGAGAAGGCCAAGCAGTTTCAAGTGTGAGTAATTACTGTATCTGCAGTGATGAACTTGGAAGGAAGGCAAACAACTCATTGTATTCTCTCCTCTGGAATGAGTATGCTGGCATCCTAAAGAAGCTTTTAAGTCGATGGTTGCAGAGGCAAATGCAATAGTCTAGTTTTATGCTTTTGTAGCATAAGTAGTCCCTTGAATCAGAACAGATACCATTAATGTCAGTACACTAGAGCTTCATAAATACCTTCAAAGTTGAAGCTATTACAGGAGGTAGTTGGTTAATTTGGGATAAACATGGTCATTTGGACTTTTCACAGGGACCCAGTCTATTTAGTCATTTTCAGGTGGTCTGCAATTAGTAAAACTTGCTTGCAACCGCTGGTTTTTCTGATACATGTCAAATCAGTTTTCTAATCACTCCGTCTTCATTGATTTTGAGACATGTCATCCTCTTCTTTCCTAGCATAGAACTCTACAACAGTGTGGAATGTGAAAAAGACCACAGCAGTTATTGTGGGTAACTTGAAACATAGTCTTTGCTGGACTGTAGATTCCTGTATGCTTTCAGTATATATTTTGGAGACTTCCGTTATCAGTACAATCCTTATTAAAGTTATGTATTTTGAACTCCTAGTTTTTAAAAGCCTCAAGATGAGGGTTAGTTGACTTCGGTGTTAAGATTTATGTTTACTCTTTTCTTTAGGAATCTATGGGCAAAAGTTCAGATGGAAAGTCATATGTTATTACTGGAAGCTGGAATCCAAAATCCCCACATTTTCAAGTTGTGAATGAAGAAACTCCTAAAGGTAGTGCAGAATTTTTTTTTAGGACTTATTCATTTTTATTTTATATGTATGAATGTTTTGGCTACATGTATGGCTGTACAACACCTTCATGCCTGGTGCCAACAGAGATCAGAAGAGTGGGTCAAATCTCTTGAAACTGCAGTTACAGATAATTATGTTTCAGTGTGGGTGCTGGGAATTAAACTTGTGTCTTCCAAAAGAACAGCAAGTCCTCTTAACCACTGAACTGCCACTAGAGCCCTGAGATCATACTGATACTTTTTAGTTTGGGATTTGGGATTTTAAGACATGGTCTATGTGTAGCCCTTGCTGTCCTGAAACTTACTTATCTCAGATTCGCTTACTTACTTATTTGCCTCAAAGCCTGATAGACCAAGCTTACCTCATACACATTTTTTTTTTTTTAGTTAGGAAATCTTGGTGAAACAAATAATTTGAATAATTTATGAGTTTCTTACTAAATTTAACTTAAAAACAATAAAGTTTTTGATTATTTGTTCATTTTCCTTTTCTTCTCCTCTCTTGCTTTTTCACTTTCCTTTTTTCATTGTGTGTGTGTGTGTGTGTGTGTGTTGGGGAGGGGAGTGTTAGCCAGGGTGTATGTGGAGGTCAGTGAGAGTTGGTCCTCTTCTTCAGTATCATTCTGGGAATTGAATTCAGGTCATCAGGCTAGGTGGCAGGCACCTTTTCCTCCTGAGCCATCATTGCTGGCCTCTCTTATTTCTTATAAGTAGACTTCTAAAATTTAGTTTTGTAGAGATAAACCCCGCATATATGGTTAAAAATTCAAAAGGATTATATAGGAGAGAAAAGTCAGTCTGCCATAGTTCAGTCCCACAAAGAGAATCATAGCTGTTTCTTAGGTTGCTTCAAAGATAGTTTCTGTAGGAATATTTTTCTAAGTCGCCTACTGAATACTGCATAAACAACTTTTCTCATCCAAGCGTGGTGTTACAAACCTTTAGTCATAACACTCAGGAGGCAAAGGCAGGTAGATTTTGTTAAGTAAAAAAATAAATAAAAGGAGGGAGGGAGGGAAAAAACAAGACAAAAACCCAAAACAGTTTTTGCCTCCTGAATGGCCTTTAGTATTCTATCTTGAAAGTATGACACTATGTGCAACTGTTTTACTGAATGCTGTTTCTCTTCAGCTGTTATGTTATGTATAAGTGGATAAAGGATATAATCAGAAAGCTCTAAAGAATGAGAAGCCCTGCTGGGTATGGTAGAGAACTCTGGAGGCTGAGGCAGGCAGATCTCTGTGAGTTCTAGGTCACAATAGTGACAACCTGTTTTTGTTTTTGTTTTCAAAAGTTATTATTAACCACATTTAGGACTTGAGAATTAACAGTATTTGTAAAAGTTACTAAGAGACTTAGAGCACTTTTGCAGACAGCCTGACTATATGTTTTCTACTGCTATACCGCTGCTTCTAATCCTACCTCGGGGATCCTACCTAGACTCAGAATTCTCAGTGGAAAATTCTTTCAGTTACTTGTCTGGTTTACTGACAGGACTTTTATGGTTGACCTTAAGATATCTTGAATACTTATATTAAGAGCAGTTACTTAACTGACTACATGAACAAATATATTTTCATCTCTTTTCTCTTTCTTGTTTCTCTCTCTCTAGATAAAGTTCTGTTCATGACAACAGCTGTGGATTTGGTGATAACTGAAGTACAAGAACCTGTTCGATTTCTTCTGGAGACAAAAGTTCGAGTGTGCTCACCTAATGAAAGGTTATTCTGGCCCTTCAGCAAACGGAGCACTACTGAAAACTTCTTTCTAAAACTGAAGCAGGTACTTCACCAGGGTGCCAAGAGGACAAGACAGGAGGGTCACACCTGAGACTGGTTGATGGTTCATTGTTAGAGCTGTCAAACAGCCATATGCCTTCTTAGTGTATTAAGAAGGGAAATCGTCTCTTAAGTTTTGTTCACATTGGATAATCTTCATCTTTTCTAAAACTCCAGGGTTCTTTATAGCCTGACCTCATCCTGAAGAACATTTAGCGTTCCTCAAGTTTTGGATCTGATAAAAGAGTGTTCTCCTACGTCTTTATACAAACATACCTTTATTTCATTTCATTCAATATGGTATTTACACTGAACGTAAGGTTCTTTTTACTTTTTCAGTCTACTACTATGTCTGTTAGTTTTGGGGTTTTTTTGTTTGTTTGTTTAGAGTTTTTGTTTTGTTTTGGTTTTTATTTTTATATTTTCATTTTTCATTTCTGGAATGTCCAGCTAATTCTTTAGTGTGCTTTTCTTTTGCTTTAGTGTTTTTTGTTCTCTCCTGAAATTTTTGTTGTTATTCTTTTTAGCAGCTTTTCTTTGATACAGTTGAGCATAATATACTGTAGCTTCAAAATCATTGAATGATCCTTAAAGAACTGTGAGTAACATCTTCATCTTGATTTGTCTGTTTTGTAATTTCAGATTAATTATTTCTGGCGGTTGAGATTCTGTTGTGTTCTTGGTTTTTTTTAGATGGCAGTTAACTTTTATAGGAGTCAACTGCTCTGTCTTTTCTGTGATGGCAGTAACTAAAATGTATTGTGTTCTTTAGCTTTCCTTGGCTCTCAGTTTTCCTACCATATACTAATGCTTAATTTTTTTATCTCTTCATGGCTACTTCTGCCAAAGCTGTTGTCTCCTTGTCCCTACCCCCATTGTTTCTTCTTCCTTATTTCTTTTCCTTTTCTTCCTTCACCCTCCTTTATTCTTCTTATTGAGCAATTACTCTACCACTGACCCTCAGCATTAGCCCCACCTCTTTCCTGTGTAGCCACATTCCTGGAAAATGTCATGGTCCTAGTTGACCTCAATTGCTAATCTGAGTTCTCATCGCCTTTTACCTTTCTGCAGCATTTGACATAGGTGATCTCTTCTTTCTCCTTAAATACCTACTCCTCTCTTCATTTCTAAGACATCTCAGACCTACCCCACCCTCAAAGGCTATACTTACCTGCCTGCCTTTAGTCTTGCAGTTTATGGCTATTATTAAATAGTTTCTTAGACCAAGGATTTTACTCTCTTATTCCTTTTGCCCCCATTTCCATTGTTTGAGGAAACTCTGTTTACTTTCAAGGCGTATCCTAAGTCTGACTACTTCTTTGCACCTGAATTCATTGCCATCATTGCTCACCTATGTCATGCTGATAAACTTTTTCGTCATCTCTCTGTTTCTATGTTTGTCCCCTATGACCTGTTCTAAACATGTCTGCTTTAGGTCAGATCATATTTTCTATTTTTTACTCCAAACCCTTTATCCTTATTTGTTAAGAGCCAAAACTTACTCTTTCTTTCTTTTTTTTTTTTTCCCAATCCAAAATCCTTATCAGACTGCTACTGATGTACTGCCTCCTAGGTCCCACAAATAAGTTTTTCTCTTCCTTTTCCTGGCACAGTCTGCACTAGGTACATTTTTAAGGACTCAGTCTTCAGCTGTTTCTTATCAACTACTCCTTCTTGGAATACTTTTCTCTGGATTCTACTGGATAATGCTCATCTCTCCATCCTTCTTCCCTCCCCATTTAGTACAAGAGAGCAAGTACGTGTGTGCATGTGTGTTTGTGTATGATATGACATATATATAACTAGCTGTCATTTTTTATGGTATAGTATATATCATATAGTATATTTACTCTTATGTTTCTTGGCCACTTTATAATCTCTACTAAGGCACTATTCACTGATTTATCCTAAGGGCTTAGAACATAGTGGTTCTCAGTGTTGGGGTCTGAAAAATCGAAAACAATCCAAGCAGTCACAAGAGCCTAGCAATGAAGATCTTTATTTGAATTAGACAGCAAAAACTTAGGAGTCTGGGACAAGAGCACAAACTTGGGAGCTGACTGCATTTTGAACATTCATCTTAGTAAGTGTTTAAGCAGATGACAAATATGTGTTGTACTCAGTCCCCTACTGGTCTATCAGGGCCACAGAACAGACTTGGGAGCCAAACTGTGACCCTTGGGGCCGTGACCCACTATATAACAGTATTTTAAGCTCAGAACCCACAAATATCTGTGCCAAATTACAGTTTTGTTTTGTTTTAAGGTTTATTTTATGTATGAATACACAGTTACTCTCTCCAGACACACCGGAATAGGGCATCAAATTCTATTACAGATGGTTGTGAGCCACCGTGTAGTTGCTGGGAATTGAACTCAGGACCTCTAGAACAGTCAGTGCTCTTAACTGCTGAGCCATCTCTCCAGCCCCAAATTAGAGTTTTTTATCAATCAAAATCATTTGTCGTTTCATTGTTAGGAACAATCATTATGTTTGGGGAACAAAATAAGAATAAGGAGGGGCTAGTCATCTGGAACGCTCTTCTAAAGCCTGGAAACTTGAACTTAATTTCACCCTATGATCAAAATGGAGTCTGAAAACAAAACGGCAATACTTAGGATAAGTCTTACTTGTTTGATCCCAACATCAGTAATTAGTATTCATTTCAGTATTTGTTGAATTGAGTTTATATACTGGTAACTTTGACTTTCTGTTTTACAAAATTTAAATTAAAGTTTTATATGTGTTTACTTGGGTGTACATTGCCCTATCAATATAAATGTTGAATCTATTATATCTGTCTTAGTTTGGGCTTTACTTCTGTGAACAGACACCATGACCAAGACAGTTCTTAAAGGACATTTAATTGGGCCTAGCTTACAGGTTCAGAGTTTCAGTCCATTATTATTAAGGCAGGATCATGGCAGCTTCCAGGCAAGCATGGCACAGGAGGAGTTGAGAGTTCAACACTTTGTTCTGAAGATAAAAAGAAGACTGGCATCTTCAGCTAGAAGGAGGGTCTCAAAGCCTACTCCCACAGTGGGACACTTCTTCCAATAAGGCCACATCTACTCAACAAGGCCATACCTCCAAATAGTGCCACTAGCTGGGCCAAGCATATTCAAACCACTACAGTATCCAATTAGTTCTGATGAGTGTATTTAGACAGAAACAAGCAGAGTTGTAATAGGATTTCTTTCTTTCCAGCATTGTCTGTGTTTCCACAGGAACCAGAGATTAGCATAAGATCAACAACCTAGGTTTAAGCAGTAGCTTGCTTTATGACTTTGAACACCTTTCTTCAACTTTGGCTCTTTTTACTGAATTCTGAGTTAGCCACAATAATAGAATCACCCTCATACTATTACTGTGAGATTAATGAAAAGGTCTGTAAAGTTTGGATTGCATATTCTTTGCATTTTAGTTGAGACAAAATATGGAACGTCTTGTAATGTGACAAAACCAGAAAACTCTGTTGTAAAATGAGAACATTGTTTAACACTTAATCATTTACCCGTTTAGAAAGCCTTATTCATTTGAGGTCAGCCTCAAACCCACAATCCTATCTGCCTCAGTTTACTGAGTGTTGGGAAATAAAGGCTGTGCCACACTACCAACACATGTTTATTGTATGGGAGGACAGCGCCTAGGGAATCAAACCAGCTCTCAAGCATTATTGCACATTTAGGGAGTAAGGGGAATAATTCTTAAAGTGTCTACAGTGATTCTAGAGAAATGTCTCAGTGCTTAAGAGTACTGTCTGCACTTCGAGAGGATTTGAGTTCGATTCCTAGTACTCACATGGTGACTTACAACTATCTGCAACTCCAGTTTCAGGGGATCCAGCACCCTCCTCTGGACTCTCAGTCACTTTATATGCATGAAATTTTTAAAAAGTATCTGGAGTAAGAGGCAATAAATAAAAACTAATTGCATTATGTTTTTAGTACAAACTTGTTTAAAAATTTCTTTAACTAAAGTTCTGGTTTGTCAGTCTTGTGTTAGTGGACATAAAATAACTCCCCTGATATTGTATTTTTTTCTTGGGATTTCCTGTTATATTGAAGTCAAGGACCGCATGGCCTGCTGCGCCAAAAAGATGGCTCCATGGTTAAGAACATGTATTGTTCTTGCAGAGGACCCATGTGCACTCCCCAGCACCCATATGGCAGCTACAACCATACAACAATCCGTAACTCGAGTTCTGGGAATCCAGCACCCCTTTCTGGGTCTGTGCATGTGTGTACATACAAATGCACCGCAGACATGATACATGGATATAGCACATATACACCACACATACACACCACACACACATAAGACACATTTATATACTGTACACACACACACATGTAACTTTAAAAAATGAATTATTTTTAAGAAAAAGAAAGTATATTTTATAATGTTTCCTTTTAGTGGAATCACCAGTGTTTGAGATTTTGTTCCGTTTGCCACATTTTCTTTCATTGACATTGTCACCTTAAAGATTGGCCAAGTCTAAGGCTAGAGAATCTGTTTCTCTAAAACCCTGTCAGGAGATTGTTGGTACACTTAAGAATTTAGGTGGTACAGTGATAACTATGGAAAGTTTTATCTTTTGATCAATGATGGCAAACATTTTATCATGTGAAATAATAACTTTCCCTTTTTTTGTATATTTCCTATTAACATCATTTAGTTATTTTTCCTCTTCATTTGTGTGTCTCAAACCAGGGTAAACTCTGCCTTCTCTGCCTTCTATGTGCTGGGGATTATAGGTTATTTATGTATTAATTAGGTCAACCCCTTTAGATATGGTATTTCCCCCATTTTTACTAGTCTTTTTCACTTTAGTTTTAGTGATTCTTTTGGAGTTTGCCACATAGTTTCTTTTTACACAGTTGAATTTATCAAGTTTTTCTTCAAAGCTTCTGAATTTAGCATCAAAATTGGAAAGTTAAAAATACTTTTCACACTTTCCTATTGTCATGATGTTTCTAGATCACTGACTTATTAGTGTAGTAATCCTCTGTACAGTAAAATGTGAGTCTGACTTTTTCTCCCAAGGGCCATCTAGTTGTCCACATGAAATTCATTAACTATTACACTATTCAATAGTTTGTAGTGCTCCCTTTATTCAGTTTTCATGTGTGTTTGGGCTTCTTTGAAGTTTTTACTTCTTGGTCAATTTAGTACAGCCTTGGTGTAAAAGACCTTATGTCTTTGTATTAGGTAGGGCAACTTTCATTCAGCAGATACTCTTGTGTTTATGGGCTTTCCTAGATACTCTATTTGTTTTTCAGATAAACATTAAAATCCACTAGTTTAGCTCTGGGACAAGTTGCTGTTGCTTCTATTAAGGAGATGTCTGTCATCTTACCCAGGAATAGGGATGTCTTTACTTATTCATGTCTGTTCTACCTTTGTCCTATTAGATTGATTTTTATACACACACACACACACGTGTGTGTGTGTGTGTGTGTGTGTGTGTGTGTGTGTGTATAATTTTTATATTTTATATAATTCATATTTTGTTAATTGTTTGCATATATTTGAATGTACAACAGTTTAGAAACTTACATATTTAAATTACTGAATATTTATAAAAATATGTATTGCAATATGTAAATTCCAATGCTTTTGACTATAGAAAATTCAGAGAGAGGTTTTTATTTTTTTTTATTTATTTATTTATTCTTTCCAAAGGGGAGGGGGTTTATTCAGGGCAGAGGGCAAAGGTAGGGAGAGAAACAGGAGAAGATGATGGAGAAAGAGGAGAGAGGAGAGAAGTGGAGGCCGTCCATGATCACGTGGAGAGAGGGGGAAGGGAAGGGAGGAAGATTGAGGAGAAGCTAGAGGAAAGAGAGTAAAAGAGTAAGAGAGGCAAGCAGCCCCTTTTATAGTGAGCACGCCTACCTGGCTGTTGCCAGGTAACTGTGGAGGTGGAGTTTAGACAGAATACTAACATTCCCCCATTTTGGTTTCATTAAAAAAGAAAAATTAGAAAGAGGTGACAGTGAAGCAGGAATAGGGTCATCGTGTTATCTGGCTACTTCCTGCTGGCATTGGGGGTGACGTGTCTTTAGGGGGAACCTGGAAGAATGGGTATGGAGGATGTTTGTCCGGTCTTAGGAGAACTGGCTGTTTCCTGATGTCCAGGGTCTATGGAGCTAGCCATCTGAGGATAGGTCAGAAGGAACAGGTCCAGTAGAAGCAGCTGTGTGTGTGACAGGAGATGGAGCATCTGGAGGTTGTTTCTCTGGAGCTGTTTTGGGTGTGCCTGGACTTGACGAGATCTGGATGGCGTCTATTTGGTCCATGAGAGGTAGATCTGAGTGGGTTTCCTGTAGCTTATAAGTTTACAAAAGAGATAACAGCATGAGTTAACAATATGAGCAGTCTTTAAGATGAGCCTTTGTTGGATCGTATAGTGGAATGTTTTATTAGAGTTAGGCAAGTTTATAGGAACTCAAATAATATTAGGACAGTGGCATACCAAGAAGAGAAAATTTGAAGCATTTATTTGATAGTAACTCAGTTTAGGTAATGAGGTAACATAATATCTGCAAAAGCTTAGCTGTCAGTGTAGTCAGAAGTCTGAGTAAGAGTAAACAATAATCTACCAGTTGTATATTATTTTTTAAAAATGACAGAGTCCACTAGCCAACAGTTCCCATGGTCTCCATAGTCTCTTGGGTGAAGTCAGTTTGGCTTCCAAGCGCAGAAGATACAGGGCTTTTTTCTGTGGAATGGATACATGTGACATGAGAAATGACCTACCTTGATTTGACTTAGCTAAGTCATTTGACTCAGAGCATCCAGTCTAGCCCACTGCGTTTGTTAGTGACTATATCATCACATACAATCCAGGCTGTATCTTCTAGGTGTCTGGTGTCCAAGTCTTCTGAAACCATCTTGGGTCAACTATTAGAGGCTTTGGGAATTCTGTGAGCCATAAGCTTAAAAACTACTATCAGCAGACTTCTGACAAGATTGAGAGCCATAAGGATTGGTTGTAACTGAATAGAATAATAGCAGTAGTAAAAATCTATCAAGACAGAGCCTTTCCTATCCTGTCTTAAGTAACTTTGGCGGGTTGTGTAGGTAGAGAAAAGCACATTTTTGTATTAGCAAAGAAACATTTGGCTAGGACCAGAATAAGAAAGCTGTATTGTATGGCTGGTGGAGGGTTAGGTGGCAGCGGCAGCAGGGTGGGACTTCCTGCTCGTGCCAGAAGTTGCTGCCCAGTGTCTCTGGTGGCTAGAGTTTGCAGTGGGCAAGGTAAAGCAAGCATGTCCCATATCACAGCAACATTCATGTTAGTTGTTTTTGTAGTGGAAGGCACCGCTAGCACTCACTTTACAGGTCCCAGGCAGAGAGGGAATGCCTCCCTTGCATGCTCAGGTAGCCAAGCCCTTTGTGCAGGTGATTGCGCATGTGGAGAAGCAAGTCTAGCTGGTCTGATGTAAACCTGCAGACATCTGCTAGAGTCTCAGCAATTCCCCCATTTTGGGTTTAATTAAGAAAAATTAGAAAGAGGTGTGGGGTTGAGGAGGTTTCATGGCTAAGAGAACCTGGGGTGGGGAACAGGCGGAACACATGGAAGGTAGATAAATGATCGAACATAGGGGATTTGTTTCCATTTACCAGACTGCTGGCAGTATGTGTTAAGACCCCTTAAAATGATTGGGTCTAGCATGCCATTAAGTGGCTACTTTAGTCCATTATCTAGAGGGTATCGAATCCAGACCTTATTGCAGAGGTGTATCAATTTGGAAGGCCAAATCAGTCGTTAATTTTAGAGATTTGAGGTTTTTCAGTAGACAACCCAGTGGGGTGTCTGTGGGTACAGTCGAAGACAATGTGGTACCCATTGGGTGACGTGGCTGTTACCCAGCTATCAGTTGGCATCCCAAAAGAAAAGCTGGCAACGAAAAATCAGACTCAGGCTAGATAATCAGGTCGTCACGAGAATATCTAGGTGCCTCTGTGGAACTAGTCTTGTTTGTTTTTAAGTAATTTAACAAACTTACATCAAAATATTTAAATAGTATTTTCCTGTCATGCTGTTTTCAGTATAGGGATGAATGTATATCAAGGATTTTAATTTAGTTAAATTTAATGTAAATTAAATTTAACAATTTAGTTAATTTAATGTAAATCAAGGATTTTAATTTAGTTCACTAATCATAAAGAAGATAAGACTAAGTACTTAAGAACTTGGGCCTATTTGTTTCTTCTATTAAAAAACAAAAAATCAAAAGCTATTAGAATAAGATCACACAATGGTGATGCAGCCTTGAATTTAATCCTAGCATTCAGGAGACAGAGGTAGACAGATCTCTTAAGTTTGAGGCCAGCCTGGTCTACATAGTGAGTTCCAGGACAGCCAAAGCTACATGGAGAAACCCTGTCTGAGGTGGTGGGGGAATTACTAAGATTATTATGCTATAGGTAGGTAACCTTTGAGTCATCTTTTCTATCCGAAAGAAATTATTCTCCTAGACACAAACCTGTAGCCCACTTTGTAACTTCATGGAGCCAGAGTCCTTTACTAATAATAAGCAGCTGGGTTAGAGACAAATATATTTGTCTTATATTTGTCTAGAAAACTAAGCAACTCTAGAAGCAGTTGCTAAACTAATCAGATATTCTGTGGTCTGGATTGGCAAGGTTTTGTTGTGCTTATTCTGTGGTTATGCTTGGCCTCTACTGGTGGAGATGCTTAATGCAGCCTTTAGGCTAAGACTCATATATTAAATTGCACTTCAGGATGATATGAAAGGACACATTGCTATCATCTTGGCCTTACTCCTAAGATTGGAGTGGAGTAATGCTTTTAATGAAAAGCGAAGTAGAGATCGGGATGGTAAAGTCTACTCTGGTGTTCCTGTACCTTGTAGATATCCTTGTCCTCCACCATCCATCTGCTATGCTCTGCACCTTTCTGTGCCTTCAGCATCCTTTCTTGTACTTCTTGCAGCCTTCATCTCTCCCATGCTCTCCAACTGGCAATAATGGGAATATTAAGGTGCTCAAAATGTGTATTATGCTGACAAAATTGTATGTGTGTCTACTTTTTTTAATTAGGCCCATATGCATTGTTTATGGTGCTTGTCTAAAAGTAAAAACCAGAGTGTAGGTTGAGATTACTTGGGAAAAATTGTTGGGAATTTTATTGATGTCTTTCCTGCTGTTCATCTCTACCTACTGTCCTCCTACCCAGGTTTGGAGTTAAGAAAATCTTTTGTATACTGTTTGAACTAAGCAAAAGAAAGAATGGATTTTCTTAGTGCTAAACTTTTGGAATGTATCTACAATTTTGATAAGTGGGAAACCTGAAAAGACACCTAAAATTTATTGGAAAGACACTGGACAATTGACTTTCACATTGATTAAATACTGGTGATTAAATATTTGATGATTTATTTTAATGACAGATAAAACTACAAAACTGCAATATCACTTAAAATGTTCAATTTTCTTAAGAGTTTGGGTTTTTCGTTTGTATTTTTTTGTTTTAGAGACAAGGTCTCTATGTAGACTGTCTGGCTTTGAACTCACAGACATCTGCCTGCTTCTGATTCCCATGTGCTGGGATTAAAAGTGTCTACTACCATGCCAGGCCTTTAACTTATGCTTTTCTACTTGATAAAGATTACATTTAGTGTGGAATTCAAGAAAACACCATTTATTCTTGTACCCAATACAAAGCTAAAAATGATAATTAAAACAAAGAAGTTTGCTACATAATACCTTTTTTTTTTTGTCATCAAGATAAAGCAGAAGGAGAAAAAGAATAATGCTGACACTTTATATGAAGTTGTGTGTTTGGAAAGTGAGTCAGAGAGAGAGAGGAGGAAAACTACAGCCAGTCCTTCAGTTCGCCTGCCACAGTCTGGATCCCAGAGCTCCATGATCCCCTCTCCTCCAGAAGATGATGAAGAAGACGGTAAGTGTAGAGAGGTTGGTTTACTTATAGGGACGGTTGTGCATACTGCTCCAACTTCATCTTCATCAGGGGCTGGCAGTAGGATGTGGTGTTGGAACTCAGTGAAGCACTTACCAGAGTCTCTCATAGACAAGCAACTAGGAGATTCTAGAAAATAGTTGAAGTTGCCATACGTTACCCCCTCCCCAGCATTTATTTTTGTGTGTATGGTTTTTACTTGCACCACAGTGTACCGATTAGGGTCAGGACAACTTGACAGGAATCTGTTCTTGTCTTTTACTCTGTGGGTTACAGAGATTACCTTGAGATCAACAGGCTTAACAATAAGCACCTTACTCAGTGAGCCATCACACCAGGCCACATTCGGGCATTCTTTAAGATACTCGTAGTCAGATTTGGAAAATGAGATTTTATAATCTTTTGGTCACTATTTTAAGGTGCTATAAGGAAGTAGGAGCTAGAAGTTTCTGGCACAGGAAAAAGAGCATTTCACGGTGGTTGTCATAGCAGTAGAAGGGCTTCATTTTTAATATGATGATAGAGTCCTTTGAGTCTGTATCTGTGAAATTCACACGATGCTCGTCAGATTTGTTTTTTTCATTTTGGAGAGTTTGTGGGACATCCTAGGAGTTGTTTTGAGCTGGGATTGAAAGTGCAAAACTCCGTAGAGATAAGTAGGCTGCCTTGAACGTTTCTGGCAAATCAGTCACATTAACAAAAATAAAGAGGTATAAGAAATGATTAACTAAGTTAAAGAAGATAAATATCCATGATTATGTGTGCTTTTTCAAGATGATAATAAGCCATGACTTTATAGTGTTCTCTCCCCCTCCCTCCCTCCCTCCCTCCCTCCCTCCCTCCCTCTCTCTCTCTCTCTCTCTCTCTCTCTCTCTCTCTCTCTCTCTCTCTCTCTCTCTCTTTATATAAGTCCTACAGTCTTGAGATTAATCACCTTATGGTTAGTTTTTAGGACTATTCATTTTTAATGATTAAATGCTTATTGTATGGTACCAAAGTGCCTGATTCTCGTAAGCCTGAAGAATAGATTATTGTTGTCCTCATTTTTCATATAAAGAAATAGAATCAGAGATACGTAAACTTGCCATAGACTACATAGATAGAAATTGGCAGTCATAATGTGAATCTGAATGTGTGTGCTTTGAATCTGAGCTGAAGTCTGTTATCATCTTCTACAGTTGGCTCTCATAAATCATTGATGTGCATAAAGGCCCAGTTCCTCTTTTTAAAGTCTGATGCACTTCGGCATTCCCCTGCCAAACCATTTCAAATTGTGGTCCAAATTGTGGTCGGTCTTCCTTCTTTCCTTCCTTTCCTTCCTTCCTTCCTTCTTTCCTTCCTTCCTTCCTTTCTTCCTTCCTGTCTTTTTTCTTTTTTTAATTTACATTTCAAATATTAATCCCTTTTCCTGGTCCCCCTCCACCCACTGAGACTCCCTATCCCATCCCATTCCCCTTCTGTGAAGGTGTCCCCTCACCCACCCACTCCTGTCTCCCCACCCTGGCATTCCCCTACACTGGGGTATTGAGCCTTCACAGAACCAAGGGCCTCTCCTCCCATTGAAGCCTGACAAAGCCTTCCTCTGCTACATATGTGGCTGGAGCCATGGGTCCCTCCACGTGTACACTTTGGTTGGTAGTTTAGTCCCTGGGAGCTCTAGTGGGTGTCTGGTTGGTTGATATTGTTGTTCTTCCTATGGGGTTGCAAGCCCTTTCAGCTCCCTCAGTCCTTTCTCTAACTTCTCCATTGGGGACCCCCTGCTCGGTTCAGTGGTTGGCTGTGATCATCCACCTCTGTGTTTTTTGGGCTCCAGCAGAGCCTCTCAGGAGACAGCTATATCAGGCTCCTGTCAGCAAGCACTTCTTGGCATCCACAATACTGTCTGGATTTGGTGACTGTATATGGGATGGATCCCCAAGTGGGGCAGTCTCTGGATGGCCTTTCCTTCAGTCTCTGCTCCACATTTTGTCTCCATATTTGCTCCCGTGAGTAATTCGTTCCTGCTTCTAAGAAGGACCGAAGCACCCACACTTTGATCTTCCTTCTCCTTGAGCTTTTTGTGGTCTTTGATTTATATCTTGGGTATTCCGAGCTTTTTGGCTAATACCCACTTATCAGTGAGTGCAAACCAAGTGTGTTCTTTTGTTGGTTGAGAGCAGTAGGGAAAAATTGTGGAAGATAGATCTTTCTACTGCTTCTGAAGGACTTACCACACCATGTGAAATATAAACTTTTCTTGACATTACAGAGATGTCATTGTATAATTAGATTCACCAGGGACACCCAGCCCATGTCTTCCATTACAGATTGTATGTGGTGGATGTTTTAATGAATGAGAAATTACAAAGTAGTATCATCCTGGCATACTAATGAATTTGGGGGAAATTATCCTTAGTGTCTTCAGTTTTTTCTGCTCTTCATTATTTACATATAGAAATATTTCATTTATATTCAGCCTGTCTTCCCCTTGTCTCACATCAAAACTATGAAAATATCCAAAATGCCAACAACGTAGAAAGTTTAATAATAGGTGTCAAAGATTTATGAGCTCAATTTTAAAGTTGCTGCTTTGTGGCAATACTCTCTGTAGAAGGAGTACATGGTAATGCTGTCCTCACAGTTTTGCTTAGTGAAGACATAAGAGGATAAGCACTGTTATACCCAGTTAGTGAGAATGTAAATTTTTATAACTGTTTGAAAAGACAGTTGGTCAGAAAATTACTAAATCCTTGAAAATAATGGTTTTTAACTTGGAACAGTCATTTCTAGGTATATACCTGCCCAATAAAGCAGTGAAACAGCATAATCCTAATGCTGCATATAGCAAACCATTAAAAATGCATCAGGACCCGTTTGTCTGTCACTGAGCTATGTCCTTAGCCCTCACTGTCATTTTCTTTACCACTTACATATTTTATAGTCTCTAAATTCTGATTACTTAAATTGAAATTAATTTTATTATTTATCTTAATGGGTATTTTATCTTATGGGTATTTTGCCTGCATATATATCTGTGCATCAGGTACATTCCTGGTGTCCAAGAATAGAAGAGGGCTTCAGATCCCTTGCAATTGGATTTACAGGTGGTTGTGAGTCACATATGGGTGTTGGAAACTAAATCCGGGTTCTCTGAAAGAGAAGTTACTGTTCTTCACCTCTGAGCCATCTCTCTAGTTCCCTATATATTCTTAATTTTCATTACTTGAATTTTAAAGTATTCATTTTGTTCTTATTAACATTTTGTTTTCTATTCTAACTTAATGTCATTCTATAGAACATCTGTAAATTAAGTCATAATGTCATTAAAGACCAGAAAAAATACTAGTGATAATTCACTCAAGCAGTGATATTAATATCTTGATTATGCTCCATTTGTTTGGTGTTTTTAACAGATCATACTGATGATTTAACTCTTTATCTTTTATATCGTCATAAATACAAACATTTGTATTCATTTACCTTATATACATGTCATAATTTGTTATTTTTTTTAAATTAGTGTGCAAAGCATTAAATATCATTATAGCATTTTCAGACACATAAAGGTAAAAATTGGGAAAGTGAGCTAGAAACACAAAAATGAGAGATGATTCAATAAAACCATCATTCCACCACGTACCACACTCCTTTACTAGACTCATGGGTGACTAGTTTTGTTCTTTACTATTTTAGACAAAACTGTTACATGTTTTTGTACATGAAACTGCTTACTTTGAAAAAAGAGAACATTTCACATTTTGAGTTCTGTATTTTATTGGTTGATGACTTTTCTATAATCGACATAATAAAGACATATAAATAAAAATCAAGAGAAAATTAAGCCGGGCGGTGGTGGCACATGCCTTTAATCCCAGCACTTGGGAGGCAGAGGCAGGTGGATTTCTGAGTTCGAGGCCAGCCTGGTCTACAGAGTGAGTTCCAGGACAGCCCAGGTTACACAGAGAAACCCTGTGTCGAAAAACCAAAAAAAAAAAAAAAGAGAGAGAGAGAAAATTAAACAGGTTATAAAAGCATTGTACCTGAGATAGGATTATTCACATTGTGCATAAATACTAAGAACATATATTATAGCTTTATGTTCCCAATAAGTGTTTACATTTGCCTTTTATATTCCCATGTTCTGTTCTTTTTCTTTCTTTTCTTTTTTTTTGGCTTATTATAGATAATGATGAACCTCTCTTGAGTGGATTTGGAGATGTATCCAAAGAGTGTGCAGAAAAAATTCTGGAAACTTGGGGAGAACTGCTGTCAAAATGGTGAGTTATAGAGTCACTCTGCTTCTTACCTGTTACTCTCATTTCTTACCTAATTTTCAATCTGGAACCAATAGCAGAGATCTGCAAATAAGGTCTCACTCAGGAGTCTGTTAGACATACATAAGGATAACAACAAACTCATGAGTCAGTCTGAGGTCATTAGAAACCTATAAAGTCTCACTGATAAGAAAATTGTCCAGACTTGAAGTTCATCAGTAGAGAGGGATAGAGGAAGAGAGGGAGAACAATCATTTGGTTCTGTACAATGGAGATGATAGGTATGACTGGCTAGTTGAGTATAACCAACAGAACTTGCCAACACCACCTTCACTCTTTAAAGCCAGAGCTGCCTCTTGCTTGCCAATCTCTAACTGAGGAGTATAAGGAGGTTTCTCTACAGTGGCTTTGTGCAAATAAGACTGCCCCACAAATCTCCTAGTGACTACAAAATCTGTTTTCAGGAGTATGCCCTCTGTTAGAAGGGTGAGGAAATGTAACGAATACAAGCCTGTTTCTATGGTACTCTGAAATTAGATGCAATCAGAAGTCTGTTGAACTTCAAATTTAGACATTCCCTACAACCTCTGGTGCAAGAAATTCCTTAGAGTTTCAGATATATACTTCTAATATGTAAGAGTCTTCTATATAATGTAGAAATGCTCTGCAGGAGGCAGGTGAGGCCTGTCTTGTTGCCCTTTTGAAGATACCAACCTTCATGCTTTTCAGGCCAAGTGTTGTAACAGTTAGCAGGCCACACATGTGGTAAACTGCTTAAAAATCTACTATGATTGGAGATGATTCTTTTTCAGTCTGTTTTTCTCTCTTCCAATTATTAGTTATTCTCAGTGTTAGATAATTTTCCCCATGGAGTTTAAAGATACCTAAGTACAATTGGCAAGTAGAAAATTAAGGGACAGAAATCAGATATTGTCAGATATTGCCATTTGTGTGGGAAATTTTAATATAAAGATGAGGCAAAAAAAAGTATTAATGAACGTCAGAGTGCTTCAATGAGCAAAACAGCAGTTCACCTTTATAACAATTCTAAATAAATCTGTCAAATTCTTATGACGAAAAAAAATACACACCGTTGTTAATATCCAATGATCAGAAGAGTTTAGAAGATAGTTGCTCTGTATGTGTGGTGTGTGTGTGTGTGTGTGTGTGTGTGTGTGTGTGTATGTGTGTTACATAGTAGAGACTTTAAGTAGGAGTTTTCCTTACTTGTGATATATATACTATCTGAAATGGCAAAGCTGAGTATCCTGAGCATGACATGAGTGCCATAGTTTAGGCTTAGGCTGGGAACATAACTCTGTAGTGGGGCACTTGCCGGGCATGGTTCAGGCCCTCAGTTTAATCATCAAAACTGCAAAACAAAGCGTGAATGATTTCTGCAAACTAGGCATGGTAGAACATGTCTCCAATCTCAGCAGTGGGCTTGGAAGGAGAAAGATTAAGACTTCAAGTCCAGCCTGGGCTATATAGCAAAATTGTGTCTCAAAGCAAAGAATTTGGCTGAGTATGGTGTCCTTTAAATCCCAGCACTCAGGATGCAGAGGCTGAGGATCTCCCTGAATTGAAGGCCAGCCTGGTCTATATAATTAGTTCTAAGTCAGCCATCGTTACACAATGAGACCCTGTCTCAAAGAAAAACAACAAAAAGAGTTTGACAGCAGTGTTAGGAAGTACTATTCTTTATCCTGTTTACAAACAATATATTACCTTTGGGTTCTGATTAGCATAACTAGAGGTACTCTGGTGAGGCATATATACCATGTCTTTTCTTCCTTGGTAGTATGTCCTGGGATGATAAAGCTAAATTTGAAAGTGATCTGATCATGTCTCTATTACTGATGCTCTGGTTATCATTAAAGTTCTTGTACATTAAGGGGTTTATTTCCTCTTACAGGTTTTGACTATTAAAATTAACTTTTTCAGTAAAGCTGTGTCTCAGCAGATGTCCTGCCCTTCAGGGTTAGCACTACACATGGACATCATCTGCTCTGATACTCTTGACACTGCTTTATACTTTGGACACAACACTGTCTGCATTGGGAAATATCAATATGTACAAAAGAAAATGGCAAACCGAAGCATGAGTTGTCTTTAGACAAACAGCTGTAATACATGAATTGTGCAAAAGCCCTTGGAAATGTTTCTTCTTAAAATTTGATATTTCTTTACTAATAGGAGACAGGATTGCTGATACTTGTCATGTTCAGTTTTAGTTCAGTGAGCTGGAATGTGTGGACGGCTGCTGCAAGGATTTTATATGTGTGCAGTGTTTCTGGGCTGAACCAGCATTCTAATTCAGTGTTGATAAGACTTCATAATAATGTCATTAAAACCATCTCTATAGTGTTCATAGTTCAGAGGGTTTTGTTTTTGTTTTTGTTTTTTGTTTTTGTTTTTGTTTTTGTTTTTTTGTCCTGGGGCTTATTCTATAGACTAGGCTGGTCTAGAACTCACAGAGGTTGCAGGCCTCTGCCTCCAAGTGCTGGGATTCAAGTCATGTGTCACCACACCTGATAAGACCTTATTCTATTTTTGTGAAGCCAGCACGTTTTGTATAATGGCTTCGTTTGTTTTGTTGTCAAACTTTGTTACTCATAATCAGCTGTGTCCTCCCATTCTCTTAAATATATTTACTGAATTTCCATGTTTCTGCTGTCCTAAGATTGTTTCAATTGCTTTTGCTTGGTTTTTTTTTTTTATGTCTTCAAATATATAATAATCTAGTCTGTTTCATCCATTTGAACATTTTTGTCCATCTTATATGTTCTAGGATCTTAGGGTTGTAGTAATGATAGTTTAAACATTTACCACATAGCTAGCACAGCACCAAATTGTGTGCAGTCTTTCAAATATAACAGTATTACCAACTTGTACATTTTTACACACAGGTTAGGCATTCTAATAACTAAACTGGCAAACCCAGAGTTTGTTAATATAGCAAATCTGATCCTGACACTGATTTATTTACTGAAAGTAGATTTTTTTTAAAAAAAATTATTTTTATTGGGCTGGAGAGAAGGCTCAGCAGTTAGGAGCATTGACTGCTCTTCTAGAAGTCCTTGAGTTTAATTCCCAGCAACCACATGGTGGCCCACAACCATCTTAATGGAATCCAGTGTCCTCTTCTGGTGTGTCTGAAGAGAGCAACAGTATACTCACATACATAAGATATTAAAAAAAAAAAATCTAAAAAAAAAAAATATTTTAATTGTGGGGAAGGGCTGGGGGTAGGTGTGCACATAAATGGGTCTGACTGAGCCCCCTGGAGCCGGAGTTATAAACACTTGTTAGCCACCTGATATGGATGCTGGGAATTGAAGTTGGGTCCTCAGGAAGAACAGTATGTGCCCTTAACTATTCAGCCATCTCTCTAGCCCCCCCATGTAGATTTTAATAACGGCACTGGTTTCTATGTGTCATTCTCCAGGTTCATTTGAATGTGACCCTTGGAAAATAGGAGCACTAATGTGCTCAGTATAAAATAGTATGCTAGTTATATGTAGAGTTAATATTGTCGATGGCTAAAATTCTTCTGAAAGAAATTTTACTAGTCTTATGTTTATTTTTATGCAAATATTTATGCAATTTTTTCTGTGAAGAGTCAAATAGCAAATATTTAAGACTTTGTGGGCCAAGAATAGTCTGTCACAACTATTGAAAATAAAAACAATCATAAATAATAATTGGAAAAGGACACATAATTGTGTGTCAGTTAAAGTTTATTTGTCCCAAGGCCATAGTATTTTAAACCTTTAATTAGTAGCATAAAGACTAATACTATTTTTTGCTGGCAACTCTACATATATGCACACAAGCAAGGAAAAATTTATATGAATTGCCCTTATCTCTTACATCAGGGTACAGAATCATAGAACAAGTGATGAGCAATTTTTAAATACACATTGTATTATTCTCAGAATTTGGGTGATGTGAAAAGTCTCAGACATATTTATAATGTACTGGTGGTTTTTTAATTAGTGACTTGTGCTTCAATGTGATCATCACAGGAGCCTTTCTGGGTCAGGATCCTGCTTTAGTGACTCATTAATGGTGGTTTCCTAGTCACAGAGGAGCTGTGACGTGTCTAAGGATTACCCACACCTTCAGTGAACTGACCAGCCTCCTTGATCTCTCTGCATTATGGACATAACAACTGCCTTTATGATAGGGTCAGTTTAAGACACAAAGCACTGAGATCACGCCAGTGTTGAAGACAGGCTTTATTTTGTTTATTTTATACATGAAATCTGAAACCCAAGGCTTTTGTAACTTGTATTATTGTTTCAGTAAGAATGTTCTTAGCTAGCACATATATTCAAGCTGTTACTTGAAGAGACATAAAATCTGCTGAAAACATACCTGAAATATTGTAACTTAGAATATATAAATATGCAGTTCATAGTTGCTGCTGTTTCTTTATGCCCATTAATTGTAATTTTTTGAGGATCTATTTTTATTTATTTTTTTCATGTGTATGTGTGTTTTTGCCATTTGTCATTTGTGTGCAAGGTAGAGATGGACAGAAGGGAGAACTGAAGTTACACATTTGTAAGCCAAGTGACAGTCTCTGTGGGAGCAGCAAAGCATTTCTCCAGCATCTAATTTTAGTTTTGTTCTAACTTGTACATGAGCTGTAACCAAAAAGGTCCCTGCAGTTTCCAGTTACTTTTTGTTTGTTTGGTTGATTGGTTGGTTTTTTCCAACAGGGTTTCTCTGTGTGTAGTCCTGGCTGTCTTGGAACTCACCCTGTAGACCAGGCTAGCCTCAAACTCAGAGATTTACCTGTTTCTGCCTCCCAAGTCCTGGAATTAAAAGCATGTACCACCACTTCCTAGCTTCTAGTTCTTTTTTAGATAATGCTTTAATGATACTTAGACACAGTGGTTTATAGGTGCCATGTTAATACTTTATTTTTTATTATTACTGTATTACCTTCTGATATCTTTGTAAACCATTTTATTTTCATTAAAGAATCTTTCAGAGCCTCTTCCTTTGCCAAAGTAATGAATTACGGCTTTATTTTTAGGCATCTCAACTTGAGTGTGAGACCAAAGCAGTTGTCATCCTTAGTGAGAAGTGGTGTTCCTGAAGCTCTTCGTGGAGAAGTCTGGCAGCTGCTAGCAGGCTGCCACAACAACGATCACTTGGTAGAAAAGTACCGAATTCTCATCACAAAGGTCAGAGAGGTTATAAAGTTTAGAGTGAATGGTCAAATCTTTTATACTTTATCTTAAATAAGTATAGTCTAAAGATATCTTTTTCTTTTGGCACAGAGATGAATGCACAAAGTTTACTTCCTCAGTTGAGTTTATCTCAGTGGTGGGAAATGTCCTTCCCGTCTTGATTAATGATTAACGTTTTGAGCCAGGGCATTTATGCAATGCAGTGATTACAGTGTTTCATTTTGTTGGGGTGAGTTTTTGTTTGCTTGGTTTTTTTTTTTTCTTATTTTTCTTAATTTTTGTGGTTTTTGAGACAGGGTTTCTCTGTGTAGATAGCCCTGGCTGTCCTGGAACTCATTCTGTAGACCAGGAACTCAGAGATTCACCTTTTTATGCCTACCAAGCACTGAGATTAAAGATGTACGCCACTAAGCCCAGCTCTTTGTGTGTTTGGCTTTTTAAAAGGGTCCCTGGACTATCTAGAGCTCAAGGTGCAGTCAAGATTAGCCTTGGACCTGTAGCAGTTTTCTTTCCTGAGGCTCTAAAGTGCTGGCATTGTAAACATGAGCCACCACACCCAGCTATAGATTTATTTTCCTTAAAAAATGCTTTCGATAAAGAAGGCTTTCTTTTAGTTTCTACACTTAATAAGAAAATAGTCTGCAGCCTTACATTTAATCTAGTTCATTCCTCTAAAGTGAAAACCCTTATTTTCATAGTATGCTCAAGTTAAGGCATTCTTCAAAGTTTCAAACATATATAGTATACAAACATGTAAAATGGTTTCCTACAAAGTTAGCCAGCACTTGTGCCTTTTGTACCCATATTACTGGTTTTAGTTTTAGTCTTCTAAAAATTATGGGAGTTTATCTGCTAGGAAGCAGCTTCTCTGATAGGTAATAGGTAAATTTGAAACCTGGATTATGAAGATACAGATTCATTTGATTTATTTTGTGTGAGTATGTGGGCATTCTAGTGCCCTTGTACATGTGTGGGCAGAGGAAAACAGTTAAGGGTTCATTCTCCAAGGGCCACACTTAGGTTCTCAGGCCTAGGTTCCTTTAACCACTCTGTCCATCCTGAGAATTTTTGATAAGAGAAAGAAGTAAAATCTTTGTAAAGAAAATATTTTAAATTTTATTGAGTTATTATATTATCTTTTGAAACTGTTGAAATAATTTTATAGGAGAACAACATACAGAAGGGAGATATGATCTTCAAAAGAAAATGTTATGTGCAACATAAACAGAATTGTAGGCCTAGGAAGACTATCTCAAGAATAGTTGAAGGTCCTTTGTTGAATATGTCTGACAAAACACAGTGGGAGTCATAAACGAGTGGTAGAACAATTGGGTGTCTTTTTATCTGGTGTACAGCTTTTGAGACATGTTCCAGGAAAGAGTCTATTTGTATCACCCCCCCCCCTCCAGGGCTCAGGAAACACTGCAGCAGAGGAGGGTGGAAAGGATCTAGGAGCCAGAGGGAAGGGATGGAGTACAGTGGTTTCCAGGCACAATGTAGCGCTTGAACTGAGAGTTGGACCATCTGCCCAAGACTTGCACATGATGATGACCTTGTGAACTCATTCCATCAGGTAGGCAGGAGACAAGGTCCTACACCTCCTTGTATCTATAGCACTTAGAGATCACTGTGGGGGAGACGTGTTTTCTTCAGTGATGCAGCTACTTGCACATGGCCCACCTCCTGAAAATAACCCTTCACTCGTGCTCTTGTAAGTGACCCAAACTTAATTTGTTGGTTTACAAGAAGAAAAAATATATAAAAGTAGAAAGGCCATAGTAGTGGAGAAGAGGAAAGAAGTCAACAGGAATAGGAGCAGGGAATAAGAAAGGATAATGGGAGGATGAATATGTATATGAAAATGTTATATGTAATAATGTCATTACATATAATTCATACGTGCTCACATACCTACAAAACAAAAGTACTGTAGTCAAAAAGTTCTTTCTTATAAAAGGTAAGAATCACTGGGCACTGGTGCCGCATGTGTTTAATCCCAGCACTCCAGAGGCAGAGTCAGGGTAATCTCTTGAGTTCAAGAGCAGCTAGGGCTACACAGAGAAACTCTGTTTTGGAACTCTCACTCCCCCTCCCCCTGCACCCCTCCAGTCAAAAACAAAACAAACAAACCAAAAACAAAATCTTTGGTGCAAGCTCTTCTTGTGCTATTGTCTGGTTACATAAAAACTCAAGACCTACCAAAAGTTTAGCATACACAGTTGTACCCAGTGCGTAAAGCTTGATAATAACAAGAGATTGTGACCCTGAATTAGATATTTATTGTACTTCTATGATTGTTTTAGAGTGTGTTCTTTGTACTTATAAAATCTTGAGCCATGTATTGATGGCTCACTCCTGTAATCCCAGCACTAGGGACATAGAGGCAGGAGCAATTAAAGTTCATCCTTAGCTACATGGTAAGTTTTAAAGCTAGTCTTAGCCTGGGCTCCCTATCTCAATCTCCACTCTGCATAAAGTAATAAAGCTTCAAAAAAAAAAAAAAAGAGAAAGAAAAAAAAAATAAAAAAAAAAAAAAGAAAGAAATGTTAAATGTTACCAAGGCTTTTTTTTTGGGGGGGGGGGGGTGGCAGCATGGAATCCGTTGTATAAAATATGTCCTTAAGGTTTTTTGATTTCTTGAGGCAGAGTCTTAGTATGTAGTCTTGGCTAGCCTGAAACTTGACCTGTAGACCAGGCTGGCCTTACAGAAATCCACCTGTTTCTACTTCCCAAGTTCTGGGATTAAACTACCACACCAGAGCAAGGACTTAAAGATCCCTTCTGGTCTCAGGAAGTGATTCCCTCAGCCCGCCTCACTGCTTGTTGTCTCATTACAACAACTGTTTGAGTCTGGTAACATGTCAGCTGGAGTTGGGCATGAAAGGAAAAGAAGACACTTTCCAATTTGCAGCTTCCAAAACCTTCCTCAGTGCCTTCTGTCTTGGGCTATGTTTTTAATATCTTTATTTTATATCAGTACCTCTTTCTGTTCCTTTTGATTTAATGTTTAGTTTTTAAAATTTATAGGAAAAGTGCCTGTACAGTAAATTCATTTTATAGTGAATGAGAGACTAGTAGGTTAGCCACACACCCTGACGTGCTCCTTCTCACAGTGTGTGACTCCCTTTCTGTGCTGAGCTTTAATGCCAAGTGTAAGGCCTTGCTACAGTTACAAACTCACATCCAGACCCTAAACTAGCAGCACTTGTATGTTACTAGTATTTTATCTCTAAATTGCTTGTGCAGTTGAAGCCATGAAGGCCCAGCCACATCTCACAAGTTTAGAAATAGAATGCACCAATGACATTGTCATCACTGAGCAGATTGTTTCCTTTCACTCAGCAATGAAAGGTTGTCTGTTCAGCAGGAACCACATGGAGTTAGGAAGCCTGAGCACTAACTCAGTGTTCTCACTCTTCCATTTATAAACTCAAATGAGGTTCTTCACCTTGGACCAGCCATTGGAATATCAAACAAAGATGGTTTCTATATTTTTGGATTCTATATCCACAGATTTAACCATCAGTGATAGAGATCTATCAACTTTTCTTTTTTATCATTATTTCCCAAATAATAAATCTAACAAATATTTGCTTGACATTTACTTTGTATTATGTATTGTAAGTAATTTACAAAGGGTTGATGTATACAGGAGTGTTGTCTATAGATACTTCTTCCACCCCAGTGCTGGAGATTGAACCCAGGATCGTGGTCACGGTAGGCAAGCATTCTACCATATTCCCCATTTCCCTGCTGCATCACTTTATATAAGGGATTTAGCATCCATGAATTTTATATCCAATAGATGTCCTGTAACCAATTTTCCTTGGATACTAAGACGTCATTCAGGCTCTGCCTCCCTGTCATATCAGCATGATCAGCCTGTGATCATAGACCCTGGGAGAGGATGCCAGAACAGCCAGGAACAAAAGAAACCTCAGGCCAGCACCGTGAGAACTGACTCTCAGGCAGTTTCAGTGAGTCATCTCATTTTAGTGGGGGGAACAAAGGGTATTTAAACCTTTGAGGGGTGAGTAGGGGCTATCAAGGTAAGTGTACATTTTTGTCAGTGGCCAGGATGCTGGGGATGCCTCATTAACATTAGTAGGAATTACAGGTGCTGCTAGACATGACCTTATTATAAGGCAACAGGAAATTAAACCTGTCAGGCAATGTGACCTCCTCCACATATCTTTGTTTGAGTTTATGCGTGTCAAATCTGGCTAAGAAGTTCCAAGGTTTCCTGCATTCCAAGAATATATTGTCTTAACCATTTTGAAGTTGTTAGTATTGGATTGGTTTTTTGATTGTGTTTTGTTTCATTTTGTTTAACCCACAGAAGTTTTATATCCTGATACAGACTGAATAACCCTATCTAAAAGCTTGAGATCAGAACTGTTTCTGATTTAGTGTTTTCTGTTTCGTTGTGGTAGTTAGTGGTGGTGGTGGTGGTTTTGGGTTGTTTTGGTCTGATTTGGTTTGGATTACGTTGACTTATCAGTTAAACCACCATGATATGCAAATTGAAGTGTTCTGAAACCTTAGACTATTGCAAGATTTTTAACACTTGCTTCTAGGTCGTGAATTTCAAGAATAGGAGTGCATACCCAGTTGTTACAGCTTCATTTCAAAGCTCTTGAAACCTAAAAACAGAATTTTTATTCTATTTGGCTTGTGTTATTCTTTTTTTTTTAAAGTATTATCTCTGTTTCAGTCAACTAAAAAATAAATAAACAAATAAAAGTTCATCAGAGTTTTGGAAGAAAGTACATAACCACTGAATTCATATGGCATTGAAGGTTTCTCACCTAAGCTTTCTAAAAGGTCTTGTCTTCTGAAGTCACCCTGGAGGTTTGTAGTCTGGGTAGAGTGTGGGAGTGTAATGCCGGAGGCACTGGGAAAGAGTTCAGTTCAAGTGTGAGAAATGCTGGGTGATTCCAAAGTGAGACTGGGGTGAGGCTGGAAGCCAGTAGGGGCCAAATCTTAGAAAGTGACATGTTAATGGTTTTGTGTAGCAGAGAAAAAAAAGTTAAATCATTTTATTTCATGTTTATTTTATACTTTGTTTTTTCAGTACTGGCTTTTATACATACAAGGCAAGTGTTCTAGTATTCAGTTGTGGTTCCAGTCCCAACTAAAGCCATACACTTAGGTTTAAAAACAATGTAACACAACAGAGCATGTTAGTGCAGAGGCAAGCCAGTTTCTATGAGTTTGAGAACAGCCTGCTGTATATAGTGAGACTCTGCCTCAAAAATAAAATTAAATAAATAAATAAGTGAAAATTTTAAAATAGCATGTAACATGATTTTGTGAGTCAGACAAAAGGCAGGTTGTCTTACTTCAAATCCTACTAGCTTCATTGTTTTCTACCTGTTTTTGTTGGGCAATTTAATATCCCTAGGCATAAAATGTGATAATAGAACCTTGCTTCTGATTATTAGTATTAACGGGGATAATTCATAGTCATATTAAGTGTAAGCTAGTGCCTAGTTAATTTACTTATTTATTGTTTTAGTTTTAGAATATTATTTTGGTTTCAGTGAAACCTGGCAAAAGATAAGAGGGCCATGAATTGGGGTACTGGTAGTGCCAGACCTGTAATTAGTTTTATTCCTTACCTTAAATAAAGTATAACTTACAAAGTAGGCATAGGGAGAGGTTAAAAATAATAGATAATCATAAAATAGCAATAACAGTATGTGTTATGATGTTATGTGAATGTTGGTTGTCTCAAACTGTAGGGTTTTTCCATTCAGTGTTTTCAGAATACAGCTGTGCTAAGATAATGGAATATAAAATTGCAGATCAGGAGACTGCTGTACTGTGTAAGATGCTCAGAGGTAGAACCCTCAGCATACCTTGTGCTAGTAAATGAGTATGGAAGGGACTGGGAGAGGTAAGAACAGGAACCACAGTACCTCAAGTTATCTGTGAGTGACAGGGATTTAAATACAAAAAGCTCTGAAGCAGGAGGCTGTCCCTTCTGTGCTGCACGTCTCTGCTGAGGCCTGTCACATACTATTACTAGTCTCCTTGAACATGTTTCTGAGGTCCTTACTTTCCTGAAGTAAAGTGTTCACACTTCACTGAACTGTGATTGTGAGCATCCTTCGCCCACTGTAAGAAAGCATGTATAAATGTATAAATAAATAAATGAAAATACAAGTTGGATCAAATAGTGCTTTGTCCAAGTGATTATTTTTTCCTGGAATTATTATAGTTGCCAGCATTTGTTTTCTTTTACTTGACTGAGAGTGTGAGGCTTTATTCAGGCAAAATTATGCCATTCCCACAGCACCCAGTTACTGAAAAACACCATTTATGACATCCAAAAAAAAGGTTATTTCAATTTGTATTGTTTTATATAAGTAGAAACAAGATTGCATTGTAAAATGCAAAGACTTGTACCTGAATATCTGTGTGCTGCCTCAGTCTGTCACTCCACTCAAGTGGACCCCCTAACTAAACTGAGGGAGAGACAGGATAGCACCATTTCCTAATATTAGCCAATATCCAATAAATGATAAAAGAAAATTGAGGCTGAATATTATCTTTCAGCTATAACTTCCTGTACAGCTGAATTAGAATTCCTCTGTTGCCATGTACTGTTAACACCCTTCCTTTGTATGACATTGTTCTTTGTTCTTGGGAAAATGATATACAAAAATAGGACCTCCCCCCAACACCCCTCCCCATACTGTGCTTCAGCCCAAATCCTGACTCCTCCCTCTCTTCCCACCCCCCTCCTTTCTTTCCCTCACTCTCTCCATCCCTATCTCTGCCAATTTTTCTTACTGGCAATCTGAATTCTACTCATTTACCTACTACCTACGAGGGAGATTCCAGACCGACGAGGAAACAGCTTTCAACACTGTACTATGGGCATACCAAGTCAGTACCCACTGTGCAGTCGGGAAGCTCCTCTCTGGGAATGAGTGCTAATGAGTTGTCCAAGATGCTAGAGTGTGTGTGCTCGAGCACATGTGTTTTCCTTCCCTGCCTCCCTTTCTTCCTTTTCCCAAGCCCCTTCTCTGTGCTTCTCCTCCTACTCCGTTAACCCCTCCCTCTGTGCCTTAGTTCTGCAGTAGGCAGGCTTTCACGCACATTCCTGCATTGCAAGGCTTTCTGCTAAGGATGTATTGTGGCTTTTGTTTGGATTTCAGCATCCAGAATCACAGGTAACATTCTGAAATAGAGCTAAGCAGATAAATTGTATTAAGGTGTTTGCAGAGATAAAATAGTACATTGTATTTAATGGAGAAAATTAATCTTGGTTAATTTTTATCAGTGATAATGTAGCCAAATGATTTCAGGATTACCATAAGGAGATTTCTCCTACAACAGGTTAAATAAAAGAAAATGAGGGTTTGTAATTTCTTTTCTTTATGTTGATCTTTATGCAGCATGGTGTTGCTGCTCCTCTGGAGTAAGGGCCCTTTATGGAGGGGGCTGCTTTGGGTGAAGTGGGAGGGATGCTGGCAGTCAGAGCTAGCTAGGTTCTTTGTCTAGGATGTGGAATGCAAAATGTAAAATACTCTCTCCTTTTCTTCTATCAGCCGTTCAGAGGAGACTCATTACAACTCCTGCTGAAGCTCCTAATCTTCCTCCCTCTGCCCCTCTCCCACCCTCACTTGGCCTGAAGACACTGTCCCCAGTTTGCCTTACTTCCTTGCTATGTGTATGGTGAACCTGGTAGTATGCCTGCGTCTGGGACTGGCCAGACAACTGCTGTTGGCTCTCCCTATTCCAGGAAGAATTTAAAGGGAAATTGTACAGCAGGCAGTATACCCACCACAGCAGCAACCCCAGGAAGCTGGTGACTAGGGCTCCCTGACTTTGTCACTGAGATGACAGTAGCTGCTCCTAAGAACTGTGACAGCAGCCAGGTGGCAGCATGAAGTGAGAGCCAGTTCCCGAGCACGAGATGAACTCCACCTGGGATGGTAATCAGAGCAGCCATCCTTTCTGTCTTCTGGCACTGGGCTACTTGGAAACTGTCAGGTTCTGTCTTTTGGAGGTGCTGATTATTGTCTTTCTAACTGTATTGATTATTTCTGGCAACATCATTGTGATTTTTGTGTTTCACTGTGCACCTCTGTTGAACCATCATTCTACAAGTTATTTTATCCAGACAATGGCATATGCTGACCTCTTGGTTGGGGTAAGCTGCCTGGTCCCTTCTTTATCACTCGTCTACTACCCTCTTCCGATGGAGGAGGCTGTGACTTGCCAAGTATTTGGTTTCGTAGTGTCAGTTCTGAAGAGCATCTCTATGGCTTCTCTGGCCTGTATCAGCATTGATAGATATATTGCCATCACTAAGCCTTTAACCTATAATACCCTGGTTACTCCCTGGAGACTACGCCTCTGTATTTTTCTGATTTGGCTGTATTCCACCCTGGTCTTCCTGCCTTCCTTCTTCCACTGGGGTAAACCAGGATATCATGGAGATGTATTTCAGTGGTGTGCAGAGTCCTGGCACACCAACTCCTACTTCACATTGTTCATCGTGATGATGCTGTATGCCCCAGCTGCCCTCATTGTCTGCTTCACGTATTTCAACATCTTCCGAATCTGCCAGCAGCACACAAAAGAAATCAGCGAAAGGCAAGCCCGATTCAGCAACCAGAATGGGGAAACTGGGGAAGCCCAGACCTGTCCAGATAAGCGCTATGCCATGGTCCTATTCAGAATCACCAGTGTGTTTTATGTCCTCTGGTTGCCGTACATCATCTACTTCTTGCTGGAGAGTTCTACTGGCTGCAGCAGCCGCCTTGCATCCTTCCTGACTACCTGGCTTGCTATTAGTAACAGTTTCTGCAACTGTATCATTTACAGTCTCTCCAACAGTGTTTTCCAACAAGGACTAAAGGGCCTTTCAGGGTCTGTGTGTACTTCTTGTGCAAGTCACACCACACCCAAGGACCCTTAAATAGTTAGGAGCAAAGGACTCCCTAATGGATCTCATATCTGAGGGGACTCATATATTCAGTCACTCTGTTTTCAAGGAGAAAGGATGGCTTTGGTTCAGTTTTTCCCTTCCATCTCTGTGCTCCCAGTTCACTAGAGATGTAGGAGCAGCTACAGACTATCCAGATAACCTTCATAGTTTGCACACGTTGTTTCCTAAATGAGATTTAAAATTAGAAGAATCAGGATCATGAAAAAAACAATCACTCTTGATCCAGTTTTTGAAATGTCATGGAAGTGACCACGGTTCTCAGATTCAAAAGGAGTAAAGCCATAGTTGACACCTCTCCCCACTGGCGTGCTTGAATCTGAGTGTGAAAAGCATCAGCATGTTTAAAAAAAAATAACCATTTTCTTGCCCCTTTATGGATTCTTTCATGCAAGTTAGAATTTATTTGCAATTGGTATCTTCTAACAGGAAGTATTAAAGTATATTGATGAACTAGCGAGGATTTTATTTGTGCCAAAATTTAACTGTACTGCAGGTTCCAGCTTTCATTTTAGATTTTTTTCTTGCCTCTTAAGAGAAATCTCCATAGGATGAAGCACTGAACACTATAGAGTTTTGAAATGAAGCAGCTGTGCAGTGAAGCCACACAATGTATGAGAGCCACGCTTCTGAGCATTGTGAGCATGTGTGCAGAAGTGACATTACAGTCCTCTCCCCAGGTCTCTGTAAATATTGAGACTATGTACACTAAGTTGGGTTTTTTTTTAATAACAGTGTATTTAATCTAAATAAGTAATAGATGGATAGCTGTAATGTGAAAAACTTTTTTTAAAGTACTGTAGTGTTTTCTGTTCTAATCTAAAGTTTTTGATAAGAACTGAGTCTACTGACAACAGTCAGTCTAGGGTCAGAGTAAACTCTCTGCCTTCTAAACAGTCAGCTACCATCACAGTCATCAGTTCATTTTAGAAAGCATTTTTTGGACCCTCTTAAGGAGGTCTCCTGGAAGGGGAGAAAGGGGACTCTAGTTGGACCAAGTCTCCTTCCTGCTATCCTCCTTTTGGAAAAATCCTTTGACATATAGTTCTTGCCTCACCCTTCTGGTTTGATTTTATTTTTCCAAAGCATTAGCAAATGTATAAAATTGTATTGTTTAGAATTAGAATGTTGTGTGTTCATATGTAGTGTTAACCTTTTAAAAGTGACTGTCTTGAAACCAAGAGAATTATCTAAAAGGAGAGAGGGCTGTTGGCAGCTAGTGTCAGAATCCCCTCTACTTTGTGCTAGTTTTCATTTTTATTGTCAGGAACATTAATTGGCCACTGCCTTTAGCTAGAGGTTGTAGTGTGCATATAATAGTTATATTTAATGAAATGGACAGTGGAGGAAACCCAGGGGTTGCTGGTAAAACTGGATTTCCAAATCCAAAAAAGGACACAAATATTTTATAAAACAGGCATATATGCTTTGACTTTTCACTCTGATGTTAAAAGACTTCTTTTTAAAAACACAGACACGCACAGACAAACAGGTACACACAGACAGACAGGCAGAAAACACACACACTCCATTCTGGTATTACACCTTTGCAAGCAAGGCAAGTAATTTTTACTTGTATATCCACAGCAGAATTTATTTGTTCTGTTTGCTGTGTATCCCTGACTTTCCTAAAACTCACTATCTAGACCAGACTTGCCTTGAACTTGCAGAAATCCACCTGTCTCTGCTGGGATTAAAGATCCACCATTCCCAACTTCCAGCCAATTTTGATTTTATGTTTTAGACATTGATTTTATTTTAACCCCAGATGTGTTCTGCTTTAAGTTTTTTAAGTGACTAAGAATTATAAGAACATTTAAGCTTCAGATTCCAAGTTCTAGACTCAGGTGGATCTCTGTGAGTTCAAGGTCAGCTGCTCTACATAGGGAGTTTTAGAACACCCAGAGCTACATAATGAGATCCTGTCTCAAAACACTGGAAAACAAAAATAGATTCTTGCTTGTTCTGTATATGTAGTATTAGCAACTTTGACTGTGCTGTTTCAGAATTTAGAACTCATGCTGAAAATGCAGGGTTAGAAATAGCTTTGTTGGATTTTTGCTTTAAGGAGAAAATGTTTTCTCCTGGATTCTGAAAAACAGTTTGTAATACATTTCAGCCTTGCATTGCACAGCTGAAAGGTTAGCTCTATAGATTTGGTTAGGATGTGTTTCATTGTCTTCTGAGAAGTAGTCTCTGTAGCCCATGCTGGCCTCCCCTAGTTCTTCTTCCCCCTCCCAAGTGCTGGAATTACAGATGTGCCACCATACCAGCTTTCTTTTTCATACATGCTAGGAAGTTTAATCTTTTCATGTTAGCATTATGCTTATGAATTTTTAGTTCAGCAAACATGGGAATCTTGGAGAAAGTCTTTATTCAAACTGCAGCAAGAGAGCAGACTTTACTCTTGGAGTGGAGTTAGGTCCTTTTCATTGTTTGTTTTGTTTGTTTGTTTGTTTGTTTTTATTGTTGTTCTAGGGCTCCATTTTGTAACTGAAAAAGAAAATTGTTCTGGTGACATCTAACCAAGCTTAATCTAAACACAGCTTTTTAAATAAGATTTTTTTTTAAAAAAAAACAGTTGCCTAGTTTTACTAGTATTAAGTTCTGGTTTTATTAAAAACATTTTTTCAAAGTAGAATTTATATTGCTTTTTTGAAGCACAAACTAAAGAAGAAACTAAGATAAAGGAAAACATCCAGATAGACCCTCACAGAACCTAGGTACTAACAGATGTCTTTTCGGATGGTCTCATCTTCATTGTGCTGTGTAAATGTTAAGGCTTAAGGAATCAATTCTGTTTCTCTATTCACTGTTTGCATGACCATTTTATTTTCAGTTTGCTGGGTAAGAAGAGATGAAGGGCATAGTTACACAGTCTTGGGGAAGGGGCAGTTCTCTACATGATAGATTCAGAAAGTTGGTGTTTAATCTTTTTACTCTGCCACATTTAATGCAACATTTGATATTTTGTTTGAATACCAATCTGACTAGTTCAGAGTCAGAAAAAATACATATTTTTAGATGCAAATACCTCAGACAGCTCGTTTAACTCTGTGGTGTGTCACTAGTATCAAAATACACATATGCTTTTAGAAATAGTATAAAATTAATAGTAAAGTTTGAAGTAAGCTCATACTAATTGTTTACTTTGTAAATGAATTGTGTTTTTATACGGTGATTTCAGTGAATGTGTTTGTGCCTCTTAAAAGTGAAGTAGTTGTATGTGAGCCAGTGCCCACCTCAGGGAGAGCAGAGTAGCCCAAATGGGTACTAGAAATATTCACAAGCTCATTTCTTCTTACTCAGAGTCCTATTTTGGGCAGATTTTTCTTTTAGCAGTATTGCTTGATAAATTCTATTTGAGTCTTTTATACTGACTTTTCCTTTGTACTTAAATAGTTTAATATTTTTAGGATTGGAGAAACTTGAACTATAAATGAACTGTCCATCTCCTTGAGTGAAATGGAAGGTCTACAGGCTCCAGTGGTGGAATGATTTCTTAGCTTTTCAAAGATTCATTTGAAAAATGTGCAGTGACTTTGTAGGAAATGTCTTCATTTTGTTAACCAGGACCATGTGCTTCTGTATTAAAAAGATCTGTGAAATAAGTTATTGGCAAATCAGAGTTTATTGTTATATGATCAGTTTGGGAGACATTTCATGATGTGAAAATTGTAGCATTGTAAGATTTTTTTTTTGAAGCCTGTAAGTCATAGAATAATGTAGTTTTGCATAATTTTCCTGTTTCAGGTTGAAGAAAAATCAAATGTAAACATACTAAACTATACATAGTGTTGATACATATTATTGATATAGATTTTACAAGTGATTTTACAAGCTATTTCTTATGACTGACTGAAAGTGAGTCACTGGCATGTCTTTAAAAATTTGGGTGATAAAAGGACATCTGACACAGTAACAGTGAACTTTGAACTGAGAATGTAGAAACCTAATTAGCTGGCTAGTAAAGTAGGAGAGAAAAAGATGCTAAAAGTTCTTTTATCGTTCATAGGGCTCCATAGGGCTCCCATAGAACTGAATCAGATAACAAATGTGGGTGTACCATAAAATGCTTCATGAATAAAAGTGATTACTCTTGTATGTATCTGCCATTGTTTCACATTTAAGCTATATGTTATGGTGTGCTTCCGTACATTTGGATTGTGGAGGCTTAATGCTAGATCACTACTCCATGCTATTTAGCAACCCCTGAGGACCATATGATGACTTGTTTTACTTCCTTTTATCTTCTGAAAATTTAGTGAATGCAAGGGACAGTACCCCCTGATAGCTGCATCCCCAGAGTCTTAATACAGAACCTGTTCCAGAGCAGAAGTCTTAGTAAGCAATAAAATAACAGTTTTCTAGCTCTGTCTTCTTTCCTGACATTGGGGTTTTTTTGTATCCAGAAGAGGGCATTTCCAGTGAGGTATCATCTCTGTCTTACAGTCTTGAGATGTTTTGTATGAAAAGTCTGTAATTAGGTTTTCAAGGGACCTCACAGACAACCCCCACCTGCAGGAATGTATCAAGGCATCTTTATGAGACACATGGTCTGTCTTTTATTTAGGGTAAGTTCACATAATGGCAGTCTATTTCTGTAAGTATATCATTAAGCACACCTTGTGCAGATGGTTGCCTGGTGGAGATGGAAGTTTATAAGGCTGTTCTGTGATGTAAGGGATCCACGTTGTGATTGCAGAAGCCTTGCCATTCAGACACAGGAAGAATCTGCAGCCAGTGCTGACCGCCTGTGCTCTGTTGAGCACTGTGTTGCTTTCATCTGAGTTCATCTGTCATCTCATCAGACCCCTTGCAAGTCATGCTCTTCTTTTAAGATGATTTTATGTCATTGAATTGTATTTCTTCATTTTATAGCTTTCTGTTTTGTGGTGATCCAAAGAGCAGCCAATTTCATTTAGTTTGCTTCATGTACAAAGGCAACTTGTCTTGACACAGTGTCTATTTTG